TGTCTGGGTCAGCTGTGTTTTGGCAAAGTAGAAAACAGAGAATGGTATCATTATCAAGTACTGAAGCAGAATACACTGCTCTGTCTGAAGCTTCCAGAGAAGCTGTCTATTTAAGAAATTTAATGCATGAAATTACAGATACACTTTATGCAATTGATCTATATTGTGATAATCAATGTGCATTGAAGTTAGCTTTAAGTAATTACAGCCACAATAGATCTAAACACATAGATGTTCAATGTATGTTCGAGATGTTGTAAAGAACAAATATGTAAAAGTTAAATATATTCCAAGTGAGGAAATGCCTGCTGATGTACTGACTAAAGGTCTTTGTCACATTAAACATTACAAGTTTATGAATTTACTTGGCATTGTTCCTTTGTAATGTTTGGAGTGTAAATACATACATGTAGGTGTTACATTATATTTTGATAAGTCGGGGTGTTAGTTGATTAAGTATCAAAATACAGATAAATAAATCCTAGTTGTGACATCTTATGTATCCTTATGAGCTGTGTGTGTAAACTGTAGGTTGTCTATTATAAGTTGTCTATAATAAAAAATATACCGTCTGTTGCGAACCGTTTATCATTTTTGCAATATGCATTTTGATTTTTATTATTTTTGCTTTCACCTTTGTCCTTCTGTATTTTTAATTATGTTATTTTAAATATTACGATTAATTATTATTAACATGGATGGACCTCCTTATTTATTTAGAAGGTAAATGTAAATAACCTTAACTCCAGCGTAATTTTCCGGATTTTTCTCTATCGTTTAAAATTTATTTTAATTGAAAATAAATTTTAAACGATAGAGAAAAATCACTAATCAATTTATCAACAAGCAGAATTCGGCGGTCGCTTATAGTTTTCGAAAAAATAAATAATGAAATAGTTTGATTTTTACTATAGAAATCAGCCATTTTTTTGTCAATATGTTAATTCTGCCCGTATTTCTTGATCATAAAAAAAAACCTAACCTCGAAGGTTAAGGTGAACCTTCTAACCTAATCTATCCGAGTCGGATTCGCTCTGTGTCGGTTCTGTGACTCATTAAATTAAAAAAAAATCGGACTATCGATACGTGTATGATGTCGCCCGCTTCCTAAGTTTATCATGTTGGCAGAACTGTGTATTAAGTTTTGAAGTCAAACAAATAAAATGGTGGATTTCTTAGTAAAAATAACAAGTTTTAAGAGATAACGATAGAAAAAGGCTAATATTCCGAATAGTACGTATTCGGAATATTAGCCTTTTTCTATCGTTTAAAATTTATTTTAATTGAATTACGCCGGAGTTAAAGTTATTTACATTTGCCTTATTAACTTTAAATAAATCACACTACGTTTTAATACATTGAGGAAATGTCAACATCACCATCATCACAGTATATTGTTAATATTATGCCCCATCCGTAGTAATAAGTAATCCGTAATGCTTTTGAGTGATATTACTTCGATGAGTGATGTGATAAACATCACATTACTTTTGAAGCACTGTTTTACGCATCTCTACAATAGACAATTTCAATACTTACAACAAATTCACATTCCTCGGTTAGGTACCGATAAATATTCACAAATTGACCTAATGGCACCATCCTTCGTCCAATACTAAGGCAAGTTTTACATTGACCACGAAACTTTTGCTCAATTTCTTCTCTTACCTCAAATTCTAAAGACGACATGGTTTTTTGTTTTGAGTAGAATCAAAGTGTACTTTTGTATATCTTAGTAAAATTAAAGAGCCGAGCAACGCGTAGAACATCAAACACTACGTTCATAGATAAGACAATGGACATATTTATTGAAACTCCGTTCAGTATACATGTCTTATCTATGGTTCATGCACGATTCCATCAGTGTTACCAACTGTCGAAAATATTTGTCCTTAAACTTTAAGTAAAAAAAAACCCTAAATTCCCATATGTAATAAAATAATATTATTAAAAAAGGTATAAATAATAATTTGCGCAAAGATTTGTACCTTAATTTCCACATGAATATACATGAGTAATATAGTGCAGTATATTGAGGCGAAAATGTTGGTCTTAAAATAAGTGTTTAAACAAAAATTGTAAGAAAATTAATATTATAAAAAAATCTCTCTTATGATTTCTTTAGATGACCAATATTTCTACCGTAAACCCAAAAATTTGATTCATTATGAATGATTCAAAAATATTAATTTCTTTTGGCGCTTTCTTTAAAATTTAACCCACGTTTCTGCTTCATTTGACTGACACTTTAAACTTTTATCTCTACTTACCATAGTTCAACTGAGGATTGTTGTTAGTAATAAAAAACCGTACTAAATGTCGCTAACCTAAAAATTAAATATGATAGGGTAGATTGCGTTACCCCAGGCTCTTTATTTCTATACCTTAATTTTTCTTAATAAAAATGAAAACTAGAACGTAAGATAAGGAGTCAAAAAGTCCCTAAAAATAACCCTGAAAATGTAAAGCCCCTAAAAAAATCCCAACGCGTTTGTTTATCGCCTAATGCTGGGGGAAAACCCCTAAGTTGGCAACTTTTATTTCCATAGATAATAGTAATACCTCCTCTACCCGGGGCTGCATTTAGGTGCAGTAAAAAATTTAAAAGGATAGTATTTGACAAAAAATTATAGTACACTATTATTTTCATAGTTAATGCACAAAAAATAAATAAATTTACTCAGAAACTCGCGGAAAATTCTTATCACTTTGAATTTTGAATAAGAATGGAACGGCCGTACCATAAAAATAATAAATTAATCGTACTATTAGACAATTTGAACACTATCAATTACTCCATTGAGTGCAATGTGCAAGGTGACTATTTGAGAAAGCGGAGTGTCGAAAAAAAGTACCATTCACGGTAAGTCCCCGTTAATTGTTCATCAATGATAACAATTTATAATCTATGTTTCAAGACAAGTGATAAAATAGCATTCTATTATCCGATAGAATTACTACGTAATTACAACCCAAAGAACTTCTTTTAATGTTGGTTTGGCAGTGACCTCAGTGTCTCAAGGGTGGTAGAACCACACAGTAGCCTCGGCTGATGCACGAATGGGCAGGCTCGTCGGGGTAAATACCTCGAACCCACAGAACACCGGCGTCAATTGGAAGTATAATACTTTCGCGTTTCGTCTGGTGAGTGAGGTAGCCGGAGCCCAATTTTCAAAAAGTTGTCAATACATCTGCAACCCTCGGTCGTAAGAGATGTCCATGGGTAGCGGTATTTACTTAACATCAGGTGAATCGCCTGCTCGCTTGGCAACCTTTCACATAAAAAAAATTGCAGTGAATGGTATAATATTGGTTTATTTAGGTAAAGTAGTGAAATTATAGTACAAATACTATAATTATAGTACAAAATCCTAGCCTGCCTCTACCTCATGTTTGGAAATTAACGATACACTAAAAATTGTTTGTATGCTGGAAAGAATATAACAATAAATGTGCCAAGCATTTCTTCAAATGCTAAAATACAATGTAGATAAAAGACGTTAAGAATTTCGTCGATGTGGCAATTAGCCGTTTAGCTTAGTGGCTAGCGTCAGGCCACAAATGCCGAAAACGTGGGTTCGATTCCCACAGCGGCAACAATCTTTTCGTTCTTTTTCTACAAGTTTTAATGTTTTTCTTCATATGGTAACACTGCCGCTACGCAGGACAAAAAACGTACGGATTAAATTCTCTTTGCGCAGGACTGCCAAACCACTGACTCCTGCGCAGCGGACTGCAAGCGGTGGGTGGCGCTTGCAGGTCCCTTGTGTCCTGCTCGGTGTTGCCAGAAACTGTGCAGGTCTGCGACACCATTCACAATCCTGCATAAAGCGGCGGACTGCACGGCGGACCGCCAGGCAGGATCAGATAGATAGAGAGGATAGATAGATTTCAGATATATAAAAGTACTCTTGCAGGGTAGCGAATGGGCCCCTTTATGTGGCTAATGTAGGGATGTCGTAAGCGAAGAAATATATCGATACTTATAAAAATATCAATATCGGTCTCAAAAAATCGATATATCCGTCAATTTTTGGTTTGGAAAAAAAAATGTATTTAGTTCAGTCTAATTCAATAATAATTATTATTGAATCAGACTGATTTGGTATAAAATAATAAAATCTAAATCTAATAAATCAATTTCTTTAACCCTGAATCGATTAAAAAAACATGAAACTTTGTAAAAAAAAAATAAAGAATTGTTTAAAACGAAGTTAATAACGGGTCCAAAATACACCCGCATTTACATGTCCTATAAGAAAAGAAAATTTAATTGATATGAAAATGCTGAGCGACAATTTAAAGAATAAAAAGAAACTTATGTGGATAAATGATAATTATTTTTATGACGTCAAATAATTTTTATGGAAATTTGATATTGTGTTATAAATGTGACATTTAATTATTGAGAATTTGATTATGATATTATATGATATTATACCATTAATATTTCGCATTCTATTTATTAATGAGCTTAACGTATAGTTCAGTATTAATAATTTGTAATACCTCTATACCATGTTGTACCTTAGATATGGATAGTATAAGTACGAAGCATGAATAAATACCATAATTATAGTACAAAATCCTTTAGTGTCAATTAGTGTATCCGCGACATTAGTCATAGACAACAGTTATTTTTTCTTGCTCATTTTTATTTTTTACAGCTTTAAATCTATGTATATTCAGTTCAATAAAATTTGAAAAAAAAAAATCGTTTTTGATAAGATTTCGATATTCAATTTTCTATATCGATATATCGATAAGTTTTAGGCATCCCTAATGTCAGTGTCAACTGTCACTATTTATGGATAAGCTGGGTAGTTTTGTGAATGTAAACAAAGATAAACATATAGTATTTACTTATAATCAGTTTTAACGATATTATTCATAAATGAAAAGGATATTTATGAGAATTATTATATAATTCAATCTACTATTGTTTAATTTTTTTGGCGATCAATTTTGTTTCTTAAATGGAGGATAAAATTAAATTAGAAATGTACAGTGCTGAAAAAATTTGCCACGGTTGCCTTAGTTCAGATAGAAATATAGAACCATTAGGTGAATTAGCGGATTTGTTTTACATCCTAACAAGAATTCCAGTAAGTGAATAAGTTCCGTCCATTGATACCAACAGCTCAAATACATTATTCAAAATTTTTGCCCTTGAATGGAACAAATCTCTGCTCTGAGATGCACGATTAATTATTGAATGTTTCAAAGTCTTCGCACATAAGTCATGTGACATATAAAATATATATAATATAATAAAGTAAAATAACAGCCTATATAATATGCGCCACTGCTGGACTATCGGCATAGACCTCTGTATAGGGCCTCTACAGGACCATGAACAAAACTGACTGTAGATTGGGGGAGTTCACATATTTTCAAAATATTAATTTTTGTTATTTGTAAATATGCAGGTTTCCTCACATTTTCCTTCAACACTTAAAACAAACAATTATATTGGTGGCTACACCGGGATTTGATATCAGATTGCTTGATAATATTGACTTAAAAGTGAGTGCCTAGATGTTGAGCTATCACAGCTAAGTGGCATCTATTTTGAAAATTTCCTATCCTTGCTTAGTTACTGAAGCATTGTGCAAAATTATTTAATCAAGCTATTACACAGTCTCAAATATTGTTAAAAAGATTTTACTGTATTTAATGTTATCTTGATTTTATTGTCATAGATTGAGGATGTGTGATTTAACAGAAAGTTCATTGTATTCAAATCTCCTGATATGACTTCAATACAAACTTTCTACAAGCCTCTGGAACTATAAGGCATAGAGACTTGAAATTTGGTAGGAATATTCCTTTCGCCGAGTAGAGGGCAGTTAAGAACGGATTTTAAGAAATTCCACAAAACAACGTTTGCCAGATCAGCTAGTGGTGTATATTTGCGAAAGTTCATTGATGGCTTGGTGCCTTAAATTCTAAGGCTCCAGTGGCTTCAGTGCGGGGGGTTGGGGTTTTGATCGCAGATAATTTTTGTAATCTTGGTGCATTTTTTGTGTGAGTGGCAAGCGAACTAGCAGTTTTAGATGCATTGCCACTTTTGCGTTATTTTAATAAAGTGGCCTTGGCTAACCCACTCACCAGATTTCCGTGGTACCCAGACGGTCCTGTCCATTAGTTCAACAGCCGAAGCTGTTGCGTGGCACTAACACATGTTATGTCCAGCAGCTTTCAGGTGTTAAAACACTTAGCAAATTTCTCTAATAGCATATTCAACGTATTGTGCCAACCCAGCCTAGGTGGGATAAGGGTATCATCCTCCTGATGTTGATTTCTGAACACATAAGAATGATATAATGAAGAGAAATACGATTTTTGCAGGCCTCAGAAATATTCCTGTGCTGGGAGTGCAGAAATGTGTTGTGGAAGACATGGAGGTTCCAACGTCGCTTGCATCATGCCCAGTGCTTGCTGCAACAAGCTACTTTACAGATGGTGAGGAAACTGGATAGAAAATAGTTCATAAAAAAGTAAAGTTTGTGAAAAGTCTAGCAATATTTAAGTAAGATTACTTACATTGTGTAAGTTGTTGTGTTGTGTAAGTGTGTCGAGTGTTGAGTACGTTACTTTACTGACCGCAGTGCTAAAATTTGTTTCCCCGCGTCTTTAGATAAGGGTGAATTATTTTCGGATATTAACCTACAACTTGCCAAGTGAATCAAGCTACGGGCTATCTCATACGTAAAGAATGATTGAACAAGCTGCAAAACAAAAAAAAAATAACTATATGTACTATTGTTACAGAAAAGCACCCAAACACTGAGTTTGTCAACGCTGAGCACAGTTTTTAATGAGAAATATGAGACTGTACATGAAAGTGTTGAAGACGATACCAAGCAAACGCAATTGAAACTTGAACCCGAAACATCTGACAGAGATGAGGTAGGAGATGTTAAGGAGGAAGTAAATGATGTCAATCACAGCGACTTTGAAGACCAGGCAGAGGATCCATACAAAGTTGAAGAGACAAATGTAGAAATTGATACAACCATAGAAAAGACAAATTTGGAAAATGATACCAAAGAGGTTCAAGTAAATAATCCATCGGATATAAAGCAGAAAGGAAAAGAAGTAAAAGAAATGGACAGGAGACAGTGCAAATACATTAAGTATGCCATTGTCACTAGAAACGACTTCAATACTGCTATAGATAATTATTGCATCAAAGGTTTCCTAACGGAGGAGCTAATTGAAGAATTATTAGATAGGCGATTATCACAAAGACGGAAGAAGAATCCCCGCTTCGGTTGCAAGCCGTGCGATGCGAGGTTCCACAAAGTCATCGATTGGAGGAGACACAACATCCTTAAACACCCAACGGTATGTTTTACTGGTAAATATGTATAATAATCCTTTTTTTTTTTTACTTTTTTTTTCTTTTTTAAACAATCGTTGCCCTTACTTTACGGTACATTATCCCGTATTGTAAGGACGTTTTAAAAACATAAATTTCACGTGGACAAACACCCAGATGCGAATCAGACTATCTGTTGGTCACACGAATAACTGTGCCGCGTGGGAATTGAACCCACGACCCCCGATGCCGAAGCCAATACCTTGGCAACAGTGCCACGGAGTCCTTATCGACATTATTAACAAAAGAGAGCTAATAAGCTCTTGTGTTGCTTTTGTAATAACAAGCTCTTGTAATAACAAGCTCTTGTAATAACAAACTCCTGTAATAACAAGCTCTTGTAATAACAAGGTAAAATAAAAATATAATCCTTTCAAATTTATAATCCGCCAACAAGAAGACCGAATTATTTTAAGCGAACTGGCTGTTCACCTGATGCTAAGTGATGTCCGCCGCCCATGGACATTTGCTACGCCCGTAGGGTGCCAAAGGCGTTGGCACCTTCTAACGAAGTGAGCCCCGGCTACCACAATCGTGTGATGCGTGGCCGTACCACTGTTTAATCAAATAAGTTAATTAAATTAGAACAAAGCGATTTGCTTCTTCGTTTATCATCCGTACATACTTGCCGGCTTCTGTCTTTCCGTCCGATTGCAACGTAGGCGTCTTCAAGGCAAGAGTGAATAGGTTTCTACTGAGCTAGCGTGCTTACTTCCAACGGCTGCATCGTCACTTACCATCAGGTGGGATGGCAGTCAAGTGCTGGCCAGTTTTGAATTTAAAAAAAAAACGACAGAATAAAATAATATAAATAAACAATTTCGATTCGAAGTGATTCAAATATCTCGTGAATACCGCATCAATTGCACTTTTATATCTCGTTGTGCGAGTATTGCGTTGATTGGACATAGTAAAATCGAATTCTCTATTCAAAAATTCAATTAAGCGCACACTATAGCTGCGTCTCGTAACGGTATCGGGGATCAAGAGATTTTATCTCATCTAAAAATATGCGTACCGTGCTAAAAGAAGTTTTCACTTCAAAAAATCAAGGTCATCCAATCAAAACAAAACAGTGGGATGGTGTCGAGTAACCGTCGCCCAATTCCAGCCGGAGGGCCCTTACAGATGTTGCGAGTGCGAGCGGGGCCCCGCCCACCAGACCCTGGCGGACCTCAGGGCTCATTGGTGCACCCACGAGACATACAAGTGTAAAATGTGCGGTGATCCTTTCAAGTCCCAGGGGGAGTTCCAGGACCACATTCGGCTCGTCCACGCCTTCATGTACAGCTGCGTCGACTGCGGCTGCAATTTCCAGTGAGTGGCAACCGTTTTGTCTTTTTTTTGTTAAACATTGCCCTTACTTTAGGATAGCTTTATACTGCGTTGTAAAGGCGTTTCACAAACGTGAATTTCACGCGGATAAACACCCATATGCGAAAACTATTCGTGGGTCACACAAACAGTTATTCCGTGTGGGGATCGACCCCACGACCCCCGACGCCGAAGTACTTATGGCAACTACCGCCATAAGTACCGCCATCGTCATCATCACCGCATCTGCCACCATTGTCACTGCTACAACTCCTTTAATCATTTTCATCACAACTATTTCTATCGTCATCACGTGCACAACTGTCACCATCGTCACCACAATAACATCTGCCATCACGGAAATCAGCACGACTACTTGTATCGACATCATTAACGTGACTGTCACTATCACATCAGTGTCATGCCATCACACCAGTGTTTTAAGCATGTGATGTAGGTACATGTTTAAAAGCGGAAGGCCATGCAAGTATTTATTCAGTAAGAATAGTGGACGGTGTATTATGTTAAACTTTTGCCTAAGAAGGGATGAGGGTGATATTTTAAACATCCCACAAGATAATGCATCCACAGAACAATGGAAACGTTTCAAAAATATTATATATAATATATATATTAATTTTCCTCGTGTTGCATTAAAGCGCCGTATAAGTGATAAAAGTGAAACAACATTTATCAACATCCATTCTTACAATGCACTCCAGTTTCTCTCTCGTGTAACGAAATGTGAGAACTTGATATTCTACTCTCAATTTTCTTACAAGCATAAAACTGTTACCGTATAAGTTATTTAAAAAACCGGCCAAGTGCGAGTGGGAGTTTAAAAAAACGGCCAAGTAGATCTATAAAAATAACAAAAAAATCATGTCTGGGAGTGTGTATGGGAGGCCCATTGAAATATTTCTTTATTGTGTTTTTTTAGTATTTCTTGTTATAGCGGCGATAGAAATACATCATCTGCGAATATTTCAACTGTCTAACTATCACGGTTCATGAGATACAGCATGGTGACAGACGGAAAGACAGACAGACTGCGGAGTCTTAGTAATAGGATCCCGTTTTATCCTTTCGGTACGGAAACGTGAAAAGGCCGTTTTAAAAATATAACAAATGCCGGCTACCGATTATTACCAGCTCTTTAAAAATAACTAAACGAATTACTTTACAGTTCCTATCGCGACTTCGTCCGTCATTATAAGGAGCTCCACGAGAAGATGACGTGCGACTACTGCGGGAACACTTACACCAGGAAAAAGAGTCTGGAGACTCACATCAAGTGCGTTATAAACAAACAAACAACAAAACTACACTAACGCCCGGTTTATGAAACACTGATAATCGTAGAAGTTAACTAATCAGCTGTTCTGTTATAACTGCTAGTCTGTTAATTTCTACGATGATCAGTGTTTCAGAAAGCGGGCGTAAATTAACATAATTTTTTGAACGAAGTTCTCACTGAGCTTAAAGTCGTTCATCTTGCTCACAGCATTCCGTTCAAACCTAAACATTACAACATCAAACAAGGCAACCACGGAGGCTAGCAAAATTCGTGTGACAGCGCGCCGTTCCAAACTTGGCCTTGAGGCCGGGACTACCACGGACGCCTTCTACCGCGTGACAGTGCGCCGTTCAAAACTAGACGTTAACGCGCTAAGCATAAGGTCACAATTGGTGATGTGCCCTCGGCCGCCTATCCGCCACGCGTTCGAATTTCAACCTTACGCTTATACGAATAAAGGCGCGCCCACCTGCCGCCGGTGTGCCGCGTGTGCGGCCGCTCGTACAAGACCGCGCACGCGCTCGAGTCGCACGGCCGGCTGCGCCACCCGGAGCTCTACTATGACGTCACGAAGACCGAGCTCTCGTACTGCGTCGAGTGCAACAAGCAGTTCAACAGCGTGTACACGTACAAGCGGCACCTGAGCACCGCGTTCATACACCGCCCGCCGAAGCCGGTCAGGTGAGTGAGTGAGAGGGAGATAGGCCGAAGCCGGTGAGGTGAGTGAGCGGGAGGGAGCGTTGCGGGAGCGAGAGGGCACGCTCTGGGAGGGAGAGGTGCGGGCTCGGCGTTGCGGGAGCGAGAGGGTACGCTTTGCCTCGCTCCGTGAGGCCGGCCCTCATAGAAGACTGGCGCGAAGTGGAAGTGTTACTTCTGCGTTTCTGGGCGATGAGGTAGCCGGGGCCCACTTTTGTGAAGGCTGTCAACGCATCTGCAACCCTTCGGCTGTCGCAATTGTCCATGGGCGTCTCCTGAAAGGTGAACCGTCTGTCTGTCTACGCCTTTGGCAATTTTTTCAAGTATAAAAAAGATGACCGACACCCGCGTTTCGTCCAGTGAGTGAGGTAGCCGGGGCCCACTTAACTACGTTGATGACGCATCTAAAGCCCTACTGTTATCATGCGGTATTAGACGTCTAGGGGCGGCGGTTATCGCACATTATCAGTGAACTGCCAGCTGGCTGGCAAAAATAAAGCTGCGTAAAGTAAAAGTTTTACACTTTTGCGTTTCGTTTGGTGGGTGAGGTAGCCGGGGCCCACATTATTTAAAGGTGGCAACGCATTTGCAACCCTACGGGTGTTGCAAAAGTCGATGGATGGCGGTAATCACTTAACATCAGGTGAACCGCCAGCTCGCTTGCCACTTTCTAACATAAAAAAAATCACAAGAAATCATATTGTGCGCCCATTCATGTTGGACAATTTTATATTTGTATTTTGTGTGGAAGGTGTTGGGTAGTAAGTCTCAACTATCGTTTTACCCTTCAAAAACTTGACTATAACACAGCATTATCCTATGTTATAACAACATTTTACATACGTAATACGTGGACAAGCACCCAGATACGAAACAGTTATCTGTGGGTCATACAAACAATTATCTCGCAACCTCGGCAACTGCGCCAATGGGTCATCACGTGGGGCGATAATAGAACTTTTACGAAAGACTAAGTCGAAGCTACCGTCTTCCAGAATCCCCTGCCCCGATTGCGGAAAAGTGTTCTCCAGAAAGCTGTACATGAACAACCACTACAGACTGTTCCATACGACGAAGACTCGACACTACTGCGAGCCTTGTAACAAGGTAATGTTAAGAATTTCTAAATAAATATCGGATCTTAACCCAGGGCCGGATTTAGAGGTCTGGATCTGGAGGCCTCGGGGCAACAAAGGAGTGGAGGCCCCTTGGGCCCCAAGTTATTTTCCATTGATTTGTTTTAATATTTAATTTAATCATGTTTTTACAAAGTACTGTAACGGTCAAAGCAAAACACGAAAAAAATATATGGTAAGAAAAGTTTACTAGTGTTTACTAGTCTGAAAATTGAAATTTTCTTTTCTCAAGATTCTATTGTGGGACCCCTCTTTTGTGGAGGCCCCGGGGCTGATCTCCGGTTGCCTTCCCTAAATTCGGCCCTGTCTTACCCCTAAAAAATCACAGGATATACTCTCAATATATTTTCAATTCAATTAATTTTAAGTAAATTTGTTTATTAATTATTATATGATAACGCATTATTCAATATAAAATTATGGCTTTAAAAAAAATGTTTTCGTAACTGGAAAGGCAAAATTACTTAGACGCGAAACATTTATTGGCGGTTGAGTAATTTTGCCTTTCTAGTGACGTTTTAAATTCATAAAAAAAATTAGCATAAGAAAGTCCATTACTTTTAAATAAGTTGTACATACCCTCTCAATAAGGTATGGGTGTTTCAAGTTAATCACTTAGAATCGGTCATTTTAATTTGTTAAAAAAGTATTCTACTTTCTAATTTTTTTGAGGTAATAAATTTATCCCTTTGTAATCCATAGATTTCATTGGCAATATTCGGATTTAATTATTCGAATTTAGTCTGTATCGCTGTCGCTCCAAAACTAAAGAACCGATTTAAATGAAATTTGTTCTTTTAAGAGAGGCCATTAATCAAAGAAGAAGAAGTAAATGAACTTTGGTACACAGATAGTCTAGAGCCTGAGAAAGGACATAGGCTATTTTTAATTGGAAAAAAGTGTTTTAAAGTGTTAAAAGATATTTATTTAAGGGCTTCAACGCGAGCGAAGCCACGGGCGAAAAGCTATTTTCTATTAAATTTAAAAAATTACGCGGTGTCCTTCCAGTACTACGTGACGGCGTACGCGCTGAGGAACCACAAACAACGCATCCACGAGAAAACCCTACCGCCGAAGAACAAGATCTGCGATATATGCGGGCGCGGTTTCAGCGTGAGTGTTCATTTATTGATTTATTTAGCGAACTATGATCACGAACAGTCAACCTAAATCTTTATATATATAAAAACCAGCTGGCCCGCGCTACTTCCTCTCCGCCAAATCTACTGGTTTTTTTTTTTATGTTAAAAGTTGCCAAACGAGCAGACGGTTCACCTGATGGTAAGTGAATGCCGCCGCCCATGGACATCTGCTGCACCCGAGGGTTACAGATGCGTTGACAACCTTTTGAAATTTGGGCTCCGGCTACCTCACTCACCAGACGAAACGCGAAAGTATTTGTCATACTTCCACTTTACGCCAGTCTTCTGTGAGGTCGTGCTACTTACCCGGACGGGCCTGCCCACTCGTGCAACAGCCGAGGCTGGTGCGTAGCCCTACCACCGCCAAATCTACTGGGTCCATACGTTTCGATTTTTTAAATACCGTCATCTATCGATTCTTACTCAATCTAGCTGATAAATACACATTATACCGCCACCTGTTAGAAATCTTATGGAACTCAAAGATAAATAAACAAATAATTTTCAAAAGATTTTAACAGATGGCGGTGTAATGTAAATTTATCGGCTGGATTAAGTACCAATAGATGGCACTATATTAAAAGTCCAAACGCAGATGAAGTTATACGGGCAAGCTAGTAGAATATATAGATTCTATATATTTATTTAAATCTTCATCATAAAAACACTATTTTAAAGTTTTATATGCCGCTATTAACGAAAAGTAGACGAGCACAATGAAGTGAATGTATATATAAAAAAATACAAGCAATCTTATGGGGACAGCGAAACAGAAATGAAAACATAAAATAATATCTCAATCAACATAAACTTGTATAACGTTTAATTCTACATTTTTATAGGTACTAATAACGATAATAACAGTACCTATTTATATCATATTCTTAACTCCAAATATATTTTTGCGTATTCCTTAATAATAAGTCACGAAACTGTTGCTTTTAAAATTTCTTAAAAATAATGTATAATAATGACATCTATCGACAATTTGTATAAATTGTAGATAGCGAAACGATAATTAAAAAAATATCTTTCGTTAATAAGTACTGATATACTCAGATTGTACCATAGAGTACCTAACTTATTATAGGGGTCATCAGCTTTTCGCCGATCAGCGCCATCTGGTGAAATCGGAAGAAATTACATTTTTCTATATCTATACCTATACGTGCCTGTATAAACTTCTTTTTATGATTTAATTTGTATTGTTATATTTTAAACTAAAATAGGCATAAATAAAACAACACATACAAATACTTTAATTTACATTTACCACATACTATAATATTAGGCACAAGTTTTTTTGCTCCAAAGGTGGACCCATAAAGGTTTTATCAAAATCATTTTAGTGCTTTTCAATATATGAACTCGGTCCCAAATGCTGTTGTTACGATTAAAAAGTTGGTTGTTACGATTTTCGGTAAATGTAAATAACTTTAACGCCGGCGTAATTCAATTAAAATAAATTTTAAACGATAGAGAAAAATCTCTAATGAATTAATCAACAAGCAGAATTTGGCGGTCGCTTATAGTTTTCGAGAAAAAAAATATTTAAAACTTGTTTTTTGTACTAGAAATCCACCATTTTATTTGTTTGACTTCAAAAGTTCTTTACACAGTTCTGCCAACATGATAAATATAGGAAGCGGGCGACATCATACACGTATCGATATTCCGATTTTTTTTAAATTTAATGAGTCACAGAACCGACACAGAGCGAATCCGACTCGGATAGATTAGGTTAGAAGGTTCAGGCGGGAGCTCCGCTCTTAACCTTCGATGTTAGGTTTTTTTTTATGACCACCAAGAAATACGAGCTGAATTGACATATTGACAACAAAAAAATGGCGGATTTCTATAGTAAAAATCACACTATTTCATTATTTATTTTTTCGAAAACTATAAGCGACCGCCGAATTCTGCTTGTTGATAAATTCATAAGTGAGTTTTCTCTATCGTTTAAAATTTATTTGATTTGAATTACGCCGGAGTTAAAGTTATTTACATCTACCCGATTTTCAATCATTTCGAATTATCACGTATTTAATTTGTTGAAAATAGAACATATAAGAAAATATCTAAACTAAACTTTCTAAAACTAAAGAGAAAAAAGTAAAATACCACAACCACATTTGCGTCACGTAACGTAAACGGAAGTAATTGACAGTTAGCTAGGGATGCCGAAGAAAAATAGATATATCGATATTTTTTTTAAATATATCGATATTTTGGCCGATACATTTTGATCCGATATATCGATATAAAAAATTGAATATCGAAATCGTGTCAAAAACGATATTTTTATTCAAACTAATTCAAAGCCGTAAAAGATAAAAATGAACGGAAAAAAACTGTGGTCTGTTACTAGTATTGTCGCCGATGCAGAGTTTCATTTTGAGATTATGATATTTAATACTACAATTTGATGCTTGGTACTTTATACTATCCATATCTTAGGTACAACATGGTGTAGAGGTGTTACAAATCATTAATATTGAACTATATATAATATACTACTTCTTGGCACCATGCCGCGTGGATTAAGTTTATTAGATAATATGTAATTTTACATAGATTCAATCTTGTAAATATTATATCAATAAAGATTATTTGTTATTTAAAAAGAAACTACATATTATGATAACTTATAAATAGCATGCAAAATATTAATGGCATCAACTATAGTTACTTTAATTTAATATGTAAATAAAGTTAACAAAAATTTAATTATAATCAAATTCTCAATAATTAAATGTCACTAAAAGTAATATCGACTTTTCATAAAAAGTTTTTTGATGTCATAAAAATTATTATCATTAACACCACATAAGTAACTTTTTTAAATTGTCGTTCAGCATTTTTATGTCAATCAAACAACTATTACTTTCTTTTGATATAGGTCTGTCTTTTAGGACAAGTCTCTGCGGGTTTCTTTTTGACACATTATTAACTTCGTTATAAACAATTCTTTATATTTTTTTTAAAAAACTTAGGCACATGTTTTTCAATTAGTTATTTTTTGATTCGAAATGTGAATTTGTTTTAAAGACTACTATACTACTCATTATTGAATCAGACTGAACTAAGTACACTATTTTTTAAAAATTAAAATTAGTCCGATATATCAACATTTTTTTTCGATATATACCGATATTGATATTTTTATAAATATCGATATTTTTTTCGACTTTTGGCATCCCTACAGTTAGCCATGATGCTGCCGCTATGTCAACATACGTTTCGTTCCTCTCAGTTTCTGCATATTTAAATGACTTGAATTTACTATGTATAATTTACTTGTACTATGTAAATAAAAGAATTCAAATTACCAAAAATAATTAAATATGCGATAAAATGTGTTTTGTAAATTCAGTTTATCTAGTATTTTTAAGTTTTGAAAATAATACTGCAATAAGGAATTGCGTCAAACGTGTCGCAAATTGTCGCTAACGCCATCTTGCGATATATGAAACTACCAAAGAGAGCTAATCGGCCTCCATAGAAATCGTCAAAGTATAGAAGTGAAAAGACCCTGGATTGTACGCGTTTTGCGTATACAAGGTACACCTGCGTTCCGGGCGGTTCTCACCGCTCCCAGCCACCGATTGGCTAATTGCACAGTCGACGGCCATCGAGGTTTCGGTCCGAACCGCGACCTCGATGGCCCTTAGATGACACACCATACTTAAACGCACGCATGAGCACATGCGCGGCCCTACCGGAGGGCCCAAACTCGTGGGTTCTGGCTAGCCCACCGATTCTGCGTCAGATGAAGTTTTAATAGTCCCGGGACTGAAAGCAAAAACATCAGTTAATACAAGATACTCAGATTGTCTTTCAGCGCCGTTTACGGTCCTGTTTCAATATTCTATCTACAGATAGATTTCCCGAACGCTGCCCGTCCGAGAAACTTCGGCATATCTACTCGTCTAATATCCCTTAATGTTTGAAGACAAAAGTCTGTAGAGTAGACCTTCCCCCGTAAGATGTCCCCTGCCTTGGGTATTGGCAGCTTTCCTAGGGTGTTACCAACAATATATGTACCATTTACCCGAGGTGGTAGGGCCACGCAGCAGCCTCGGCTGTTGCACGAATGGGCAAGCCCGTCCGGGTAAGTACCACGACCTCACAGAAGACCAGCGTGAAGTGGAAGTGTCATACTTCTGCGTTTCGTCTGGTGAGTGAGGTGGCCGGAGCCCACTTTATTAAATGGTGGCAACGCATCTGCAACCCTACGGGTGATGCTAATGTCCATGGGCGGCGGGTGTCACAACATAAGGTGAACCGCCAGCTCGCCTGCCACCTATATACCTCACCCGGCAGTAAGATTTTATGCTCGCACCCTGACTGTACTTTTAGTTATATTAGATATAGCCTGGTGACAGACGGACAGACAGACAGTCCGAAGTTCTATTACTAGGGTCCCGTTTAACCCTTTGCGTACGGAAAGAAATTGCATAACCGGGCGGCATTGCATTGTGCGCCCAATAATATTATATAACATACAATGAATGTACGTCAAAATTGCCTTTACAGACCAACAGGGTGCTAATAAACCACAGGCGGACACACACCGGCGAGAGGCCCTTCAAATGCTCCCAATGCCCCGCCGCCTTCGCGCAGAAATACGCGAAGAAATCCCACGAGCGATCGCAGCACAAGATATTCTGAGACAAGCCGTCCACGAAACTCATAATGTCTTTTAAAATGTACTTAACACATAAGACTGTGCGTAGAAGGTTCGAGATACCAGACTGGTAAATGGTCCAGACGTCCGGAAAGTGATAAAAGTATTTAAATCCCTTCTTCACAGTATTTACTATAATAGATTTCAAATATTTTGTGTTCCTCTAAAATAGGGTGACCTTGACCTGAATTGTATATATTTGTGGAAGGGGTTGGATAGTAAGTTACAACCACCACTATAAGCTAGAAGATCTATTGTAGTCTTACCTATAAGATCTATTTTAGTCGTTCTAGGACAACAGGATTATCCTCATTGTAAGGATGTTTTACAAACATAAATTTCATATGGAGAAAACATCCAGATCCGAAACGATTATCTGTGGGTCACACAAATTGTTGTACGTTTCGAGATTCGAATCCACGATCCTTGGAGCCAAAGCCAACACCTTGGCAACTGCACTGCAGTCACCTGACCTGTTTCTAACCAACCCACCCAAAGAAATTCGCGACCTATAGAATGCAAATGCGCCAGTCACCACTAAATCATTTATCACTAAATTGAAGAATGTAATGAATAATTATGTGCAAATGGAGAGGCCTCTCATGAGCACAATTTCAACACGTGAAAAAAGGAAAAAAATTGATTCTGTTTAATAAAACTTTCAATATAATGTTTGACTCCATTTTGTACCTTGTCCTAATTCTTGTTGTGTTAAATTTGTTAGTACAAAAAATTATGTTCATTAAAATAATATTTTAATTAGCACTCGTTGTTTCCGGAGCCGACAGTAACTGCACCACAGGCACATTGAAATGCTCATCTCATAATGTATGTAAAGTTCAAAATGATTTGGATGTAATACCGCATACAGATGAAGTGAATGAGTTTACTAGAAACACTATTTTCAAACTTAGACAGGGTTTATTAAAATAAAAATAGTTATTATACATACATAGTATTCGATTTTCAGCCTTATAATACATCCATATGAACCTATCATTAATATAATGAAATTGATTCGGTTAAGCATTGAAAAAATGCCATTAATTTTTATGATGAAGGTATTTTTAGCACTTAACATTTAAAATATTTCGTTGATTCATTTGTGTGCAAATATTATAACTTTAATTTAATCTATATGCTATGGAATTTATGCAATACATCCTGTAAATTTTTCTTCTATAATATTCAAATCTATATACATTAAAATAAAGTAGTACTTAAAAATATAAGCCCATAAAACTGTACAATTGTAAATATATTGTAAATAACAAATATTATAGCTACAAATTCTTTATTGCTTTGAAAAGACGCCCATAGATGGATTTTTATCTGAATTAAACATAAAATGTTTTCTTGTGGATGTGCCAAGCAATAGTTTGTACTGTTGCCAAAGTGCCAGCTCATAATGTGAGAAATATCACAATATCAAAAGAGGTGAAAAATTAATAATATTTGTTTCATTTTGTGTTGCTCTTAAAGGCTGGAATTGCATGACAATAACGAAACTGAATTTATAACCCGACTCTTATTTGGAATTGACACAACTGAATTTGACTAATTGTTAACAATCTACATCATCCTCCTGCCCCTAATCCCACCTAGGTGGGGTCGGCCAACATGGGAATTATGTTGATAGCCATTTTTGCTACGATTTTTACAACTGGCCGCCTGCCTGACCTCAACCCTCTTTGGCAATCAAACACCCAGATCAGGAACAATTATCTGTGGGTTACAAAAAAACTTTTCCCGTGTGGGAATCGAACCCATGTCCGCGACGCCGTAACCAATAACTTAGCAACGGTGCCACCGAGTCATCTTAATTAGTTAACACTATTTAACGGCAAATAGTGTTGTTAATTATTCAACACTACTTGCCGATAATCTGCAGTGGGGTCACATAGTGGAATGCCCTTATATCCTTTTTACAGAGGAAGCCTTTGCCCAGGAGTGGTACATATTAAGCTATAACTTAACAACAATTGATCAAATCCAGATTCCACTGAACTTTAACATACAAGTTTTTACATTAATGTATCCCAATTGATGAGGATATCTCAAAGCTTGTCATATTCAACAACAACAACAAATTTTGTTATGTGGCTCCAACTACTTACAAATAAAGTTTATAAAAAAGTTAACAGGGTATAGGTAGTGATGAGAAAGTGATTTAGAGAACCAGATGAAAAAAAATAATGATGCAAACTATTTATATCAAATATATTAAAATAGGTAATATAATTTCATGATTTCTTATTTCTGTGTGAACATTATACATTATTAAATGAAACTATTTTAAGGATATTATCACATTTAATTAGATTTTTGATTACAATTTAAATTTCTAAATGTTTTGTCCCGTGACCTGGAACGGAAAGTTGGTACAAGTTCGAAAAGTCGGGAATTTTAAAATATAATTAAACATGGTAAAATCCCTAAAATAGTTTTATTTAACAATAATATAATTTGCAACTGATATTGAATGTGAAGTTATTGACTTGTCTTGCAGGAAGTTAAACATGGAAAAATATACATTCTGTATATTTTTCATACACCAATGTTTCTTCCCATATCATATTTCTTCATGTATAGAAGATTGCCTTATTTCATCCCTAACTTTTCAATTCATACAACTAATTTAATTTTGTAAAGTACTATTTACATTTATTACAATAACATTAGCATTAATTATTGCCGATATCTCTCTTGGAATCTGCAGTTCTTGACAATAATGTGATACATAACAGGAACTTTCGGGTTATATAGGGAATGTAGACTCCCTTCATTTACTTGTCTGTGTAGTAGTGTTCCATTGTAAAATGACACTTCACATGAGTTCAACTATATCTGTGTATTGATATCAATATAATTATATTCATCATTACATATATATAGATGAAATATATTACAATGACATAGTTATATCATTGCATATGTAATAATTATTATCTGCACCAGATTTTATCACACCATCCACATTTTTGTTTCACTGCTTGTATAATTGATTACCCACTAAAGTAGTTTGATGTATCTCTCACAACAACGCAGAGTTAGGTAATAACCAGCAACAATTCATATAAAACATTACAAATTATAGTGAGAGTTTTTAGAAATTATTTGTTATCTACATTATTTTAAGTAACAAATTTTAGTGAAATCTAGGCAGCTTTTTGATTTCCTGATACCCTCTGTAGTGTAGCTTATTTATTATGGTAAACCCTAAACTAGTATATCTCTTTCCATATTGATATAACTTAAAATCACATAATTATAGCTATTTACATAAAATTCCAATAATTAATAAATATCATATTAAAAGTAACTTAATTAACTGTACCAATTTGGTCAATGCAACAATTCAGGGATTACAACAACAAAACACAATGTCTGTTGCACACACCGATGTACAATAGCAAACCATCATCCATTTTGAAATGGGATGCTCTTAAGGCTGCTCAAGAAATGCTTAAGTGAGATACATATTCCGAGCATAAATGTCTAGGAAAATCAGTCTATTTGTACCAATAAAAAATATGTGCCAATCAAATTTGCACAAATTGAAATTTGACATTTTAATGAAATTTGATTACCACAATGTGATCTTCATTATTGTTCACCATTTAAATATATCTCACATTTAGTCTCAATATGAAACTGGAGGCACCTGGGGCATCATATTGTTGTAAACATACTGGTTCTCTGGCTTCACTGGCTGCATTGGGGGATGAGGAATCACATTTGGTATCTGTTGCATGGGCTGAACATTTGGTACCTGTTGCATAGGCTCTGGCGGTTTTTTGTTCTTCTTTTCACACTTTTTAAACTTTATTCCGAGTTTGTTCAACAGTATTAACCTTAAGGACTCCTTGCCGCCCCTATAGTTCAGCTCGTGTTTCGCCGCCGCCAAAATTTTCCCTAGCGTTGGAACCTCCTTCCTGTTGCCGTAGCTATTGACGATACCTCTGAGCGCGCACAGCTGGAAGTAATCGAGCTGAACCTTCGTTTTCCGCACACGCTTCTTCTTAGGGCCAGTCATCTTAGTGTGCGTCGCTTCAGCCCGCAAGCCATCCCTTTTTATCCTTTTTATTGTGCTCTCTGAAAGGCCGGTAGCAGCGCACGCCCTTTTTACAACATTGTCCACGGGGAAAGCGTAGCCCCTATTTTGTTTTTCACTCTCAAAGAACTTTATCACTTTAAAAATAATCTCCCTCGCTTGTCCGTCTATCGCCTCTTTCTTTTTCTTTTCAGGCTTAGACGGCTTGTGCTCGTCCGGCGCTGCCGGAGGTGCTTCTACTGGATTCGTCTGTAAATTTATTTGGTTAGGCACTGGCTGCTGTTGATGAGGTGGTTGTTGTTGTTGTGGTGGTGGTTGCTGCTGCTGCTGGTGCTGTTGCTGCTGTTGTTGTTGGAGTTGTTGTTGCGGTTGCTGCTGAGGCATTGGTATGTTGTTCATGTTATGCAGATTTAATATTGGTACTTCGTGTATATTCTCCATGATGTTGCCGAATATCTAGCATGTAATCGTTGTAACGTCTTATAAGAACTATTATTGCCCGTGATATAAATAAAAAGTTTAACATTAATCAATCATTCAAATATAGTTTTATTTTATTGTATACAAAAGTAGCTTGGTAAGAAAAGTAGCCGCCATTTGTACACATAACAGATCAGACAGTGACGTTCCGTTCGTCAGAATTCAGATGTCAAATTTATTTACAGTATTAGTCTTTGATTAAGTGATTTTTGAGAAGAGATTGTAAAAATTATATTATTAAATTTATATATATTGTGTGACAAGTTGGCAATATAGCAGGAGGTAGTAGACCTGTGAGTCCTGTGACCCCTGTGAGTGATTACTACCGCCCATGGACATTTACTACACTTGAGGGATTGCAGGTGCTCTACCCACATTTAAAAAACGTGGGCGTCGGTTATCTCACTTACCAGACAAAACGCAAAAGTAATATTGTGTGTTGTGTTGTGCTTTATGCTTGATTTTTATGAAGTAGTGGCACTTTCGCAAACACACCTACTCATGTGACCCTACTACACTATAAAAAGTCCGCTGTATATAAAATCTAAAAGGTGGTGCTTCGGCTATGACGGTCATTAACCCTTTTATGCATTTACTTGATAGTCGTAATCGGGCTGCTACATTTATTAGATAGTTAAATTATTTAAAGCGGTGGTATATAATTAATTAAATTAATCATATAAACATTTCAAACTGCTGAATATAGGCCTCCTCTAGAGTCGTTTGAATTTATAAGCTCTTGATCATTCAAGATATATATAGAATAAAATATTCATACAGGATGAGCCACAGAATAAAGAAAACAAGACAAGAACTTTCTTCGTTATTCCAGGATATGAGCCATGGTAGTTCAGAGTCTGGGCGCCCACGTCTCAAATTTTAGCGCCCTGCCTACCTTTAAAATATCTAGCAGTAAGAGGTATGCATATACTTGATGGCTCTCGCATGGGGTAAATAAAGCACTCCGATTAATCGTGCATTTAAAACTATTTTTAATTAATAATCAAATTAAAAAAAATTGTAGCTGGGAAGATTTTCAAAATACTTTTTTTTTCTACACTGAGTATAGTCAAAATAATTTTATATGGTATCCTCCTCCAAAACCCGAGCATTTTAACGATTTTCTAATAAACTGTTCTTAGAAAGAGCCAAATTCATTGTAAGCTTCTCGAGGTAAATGCTGCGCACTACCGTCGATCTTCATACCGGATGTCAAAGTAGGCATGAGATATACCTGCAACATTCTATACCCGGCCTCAAAGGTACGGGTATCGCCGTATACCCGGTGCTAAAACCCAGTATCAAAATACCTATAGGTATTAGTTATGTTCAGGCCTCCTTTTGGAGACCCGGTATGGAATTGAACCTTTCTTTGATTAGAATTGGAACATTTAGATTTTTTTTTAGCAATCAGTTTTTTTAAATTGAGATTTAATCATTCTAAAATAAGCTCCATCTTTACTAACGTAAAGAACCCTATTATCAAAAAAAAGTAATTCAAAATAAATATTACTGTTTACCTTATTACGCAATTATTTATCTACCTCATTGTCATAGAAATAAAGAATAAATTTATCTCAAGGAAATATTTGGTATAAAATGCCTAAATCATACGTTTCAATTCGGGCATGATCGGGAAGAGCCGCCGTAAGCGTTCGGGGAACTTCGTACCTATTCGGCCAGCGGGTTGTCGCGAGCGTTATATACCGCCACCGTCGGACGAGGCGGCCATACCCAGCCATACCTATCGGGTATGTAACGGGCCTCTGCCGTACATACCCGGTGTGCGTACTGGTATGTCCATACTGGGTATATATACCTGTGCCAGTATATACGCCTCATCCCTATGTCAAAGCTCTGCTATAATCCGCATTCATTTGATAATGAACGCATTTCCGCATGCGTTGCTCTATTATATCTCTTCGTGAGTTTTGTAAACCCTACAAAACTCACGAAGTTGAAGACAAGCTTTCCGTAGTAAAAGCGTAACGTCACAATACACCATACGTGCATTAAACAAATTTTATAATCTGATGTAATAATAAAGTCTTTCATAAGTTCGTAGTTGGTACTTCATTCAAGTGGTTGTACTTTTGTAATTAAGTTGGACAAAGTTGTTATTCTAGATGCAATTAGCGTTTGAGTTTTGACCTGGGACGCAACGATGCGTGTCATCATCTCATTGCTTACTGAACACTACGGTGACTGCTCAGTAGTGCAGAACCAACATCGTCGTAAGAACCAACATTGTCAATCGACAATGCAATCTTAAAATGAAGAACCGGTCATGAGGGATTAGCCTCGATACCCGTACCTGCATGCCTCATTGAGGCAGAGTAGAAGACCAGAACGACGACGATGACGAATTTTGACATTGGCAGTATGTTCTCGACTTTGATCAAAAACTCATAATTTAAAAAAAAATCGGTGTTTATGTTTACAATAGACATTTTTTCAGTAAGGTAGAAAAGAAATGTGTATTATTTTATTTGAAATAATTAATTTGTAACTATGGACGATGGTAACGAATCTGTTATAAGAAAGTTTTGCTGCACTTGTTTAAGCGACAATAGAAAACTTTTTCAGCTGTGTAGAGTTTTCGATGGGGTCAATAGTTTATATTGGTTACTATCCTACGATTCTGAAGCTTATATGGTAATAAACCAATTTTTTTGAGAGTTTGCAATCCATAATTTACTGCAAACGCATACTTCTTACCTATTCTTCTAACTTTCAATATTACTTTTGTGATACATGATAAGACTGAATTATAGAGTTTATTCTAATGTACATGAATCTAAGAAACTTAGTAAGAAAAGGCTTATTATAAAGTAAAGATCTATGTTCAGTATTAAGATAATTTTATGAATGATTCTTGATTTGCGATTACATTACAATGGTGTACCTACTGCAAATTTTATTTTAAAAGAAATATATGTAAAATGTAACAAAACTATTAACTTCTTTATTTTTATTCTTTCAAAAGAGTTTTAAAGAAGTCTTAATACAAAAAAGCTTTGATTTTAGTACTGTACATGCTGTTCTAGTTTTCAGACCAAGCTCACGGAAACTTACTTTTTCTCAAGCTCTGTGCCAGCTTCAGCAGCACAACTACATTAAGCTAAAGCCTACAGTTGCTTTCAGACTACAGACTAAAAGAAAATCATATATCATCAAAAAGGTTTATACAAAATAATATAATTTCAGGAAGGCTTTCATAAAGACAGTGCCAACTTATACATATGCTGGGAGTGCAAAGCCCTTATGTCTAGAATTTGTGGATTCCGTAATCAGGCATGTACAGCACAAAAACAGCTGACTATGATTTCTGAAGGACAGACTTATGTATGTATCAGTTTTTTAGTAGTAGTTGAAATAGTAACTAATTGTCTACTGTGGTAGGGCAATGCGACAGCATCTGCTGTTACACTAATGGGCAGGCTCGTCTCGGTAAGCACCACGGCCTAACAGATGACTGGTGTGAAGTGGAAGAATGGTAATTTCGGTGAGTGAGGCAACTAGAGCACATTTTTTAAAGGTTTTCAGCAAACATGCAAGCCTCAGGTGCTGTAGATGCTTATGGGCTTGTATACCACCAGCTCACAGGCCATCTTTTAATATTAAAAAAAAAATTGAGATACAGGTGTCTTCTAAATTCTATGTGTTGTCCATCTGGCAACACCACTAGTCTCATACAGACAATTTTACTAGTCTTTGCACAAAACTTACAAACGAAAAAAGATCAATCATCAAAAAAGTTTAAATTTAAATTCCTGTGATAGGAATTAGAAAAAAATACTGTTACAGTTGAAAAAATAATTACAAAAAAACAATTTTTGTGAATCAGCACAGAAATTATGGTGTATATTTTATTTTAAGTTTTAAAACAACAGTTTAAAGTAAAATAAAATGGTGTTAATAAAATATAGGGCAGTCATTTAAAAACACTGTTTGTCATTAAAATTTTATTACCTACTTCGAAATAGTTCATATAAATTAATTAAAAGTATGATCCTTATATCCTTATTTCAGAAAACTCTAACAGTTTTATCAAATCTGACTCAATCTTTAAAAGCAAATTATGACTATACCTTTATATACACGTCAGAAGATTCCTCAATGCTAATAGATAACTTCATAGATTGCGGACCTATAAGAGATATTAAAGTGGAAAGTGATACAGATGATGTTCCTTTAGCAGAGCTTCTACTTAACAATTATATGACCCATGAAAATGTAGAAGAGGAGAAAACTTCTTTAAGTGTGAACCCAAAAAGTACTTATTTAAATAACTTAAATAAGACATATCAAAAAACAAAATCCATCAGAAAAAAGTGCCCCAGTGAAACTATGAAGGAAAATAATGTCTTAGTAATGAGCAATAACAAATATTACTCTACGAGCCAAATGAATGAGATTGAAATGGCCGAAAGCAGAAAAATGAGAAGTTATGCTATGGCCTATTCGGATGCACCATATAAATGTGAAAGTTGTGTTGAAGGGTTTAATTTTGAAATCGACTTTAATAGACACTACTTGGATAAGCATACTGAGGTACGGGGAGGAACCTATAAATCTATAAATAGTATAGGTTTTAAAAATAAATGGAGAGGCTTTCATGGACTAATCATTTCAATATTTGCAGAATCACATTCTGTCAGATGGTGTTTGAACCATCATCCCAAAGACTTTAAATTAATGCTCAGTTAGGTTAGCATCCTAAATTAGTCCATAAATAAAAGTATTATTACTTTAGTAAAAAACTAATAAAACTAGGGACTTTTGAATCAAATAAAGGAGGAGTAAACTGAAGGAAGATTCTTCTTGACATAATTGTAGAGATCAGTTAATAAAAATTATTTTAATTTACACAGTTCAGTAGACTTTATAGTATTCATAGTTATCCTGTCTACAAACGATACGATCTATAAAACAATTTGAATTCAGAGATAAAAATCATTACGTACCTAAGTCATTGAATTTTTTTCAGAGAGCCAACCATGCAGAATGCGATATTTGTCGCACTTACGTAGAAAAGATGTCTCTTCCTTTACACAGAAAGGAGCATTATTTGAGGCACACATGTAGCTTTTGTGATTTTGGCACGTCTGATCTAAAGAATATGTTAAGTCATTTAAAGAGTGATCACACCATTAAGAATGTGGGCGCAATTAAGAAAAAGGTAATGATATTTCGTTTCTAAAACACCTAAAGGGCTTTTTTTTAAGAGAAGTGGGTCTAAGTCTTTTTTTTTAAGTAATTTGTAAGATGGATTGTAAATCAGATACTAATATACTAATATGTTGGCTGGTGTTGCTAAATTTATCTATTGCCAGTTTTATGTTCTTTAATGTTAAAATTAAGGGGGCGGCATAGTTAAATCTGGATAAAATTAGCAATGCGGTAGAGACATGAAACAGCTTGTACACTACAGCTATCGCATAAAACGGTCCGCAGTGTAGAATAATGTACAGTCTTAGTTTAATTCAGCTTGTGAGATATAGATTTCCAACCCTGTGTGACTGTTTTTACTAACCCTGTGTGACTGTTTTAATTATGCAATTGGATCACCAACTTTTTGGCAGATCGGAGCATCAAGGTCGTCGTCGACGGTGCATGCTCCGATCCTAAATTTGTCAATGCTGGTGTTCCACAAGGCTGCGTACTGTCTCCTACTCTGTTTCTTCTGCATATCAATGACATGTTGCAAATCAGCAACGTCCATTGTTATGCAGACGATAGCACTGTGGATGTCTCGTACACTGGCCGAGCTAACATTTCTCGGGAAAACGTCTACGAGTGTCGGAACAAGCTTGTGTCTGAGGTCGAGACTTTGTTAACCAAAGTCTCAGACTGGGGTCGACTAAACCTAGTCCAATTCAACCCCAAAAAGACACAAGTTTGCGCGTTAACCGCTAAAAAGTCCCCATTTGTCGTGACTCCTCATTTCGAGAACACTTCGCTATCTGCCACAGCTAGTATCGGAATGCTTGGCGTCGAAATCTCGAGCAACGTCCAGTTCCGCGGTCAATTGGAAGGTAAGGCCAAATTGGCCTCAAAGAAGCTTGGCGTGCTCAGCAAGGCGAGACGGTACTTCACGGCTGCCCAACGCCTAAACCTGTATAAGGCGCAAATTCGGCCCCACATGGAGTACTGTTCTCACCTCTGGGCGGGAGCCCCCTATTACCAGCTTCTTCCATTTGACCGCATTCAACGTAGGGCGGCTAGGGTTATCGACGATCAAAGTCTTTCCGATCGGCTTGATCCTCTGGCTCTGCGTAGAGATGTTGGATCACTCTGCATCTTCTACCGCATTTATCACGGGGAGTGTTCTGAGGAATTGTTTAGATTGATCCCGGCGGCTGAATTCCACCATCGGACATCGCGCCAGAACCAAAAATTTCATCCACACCACCTCGATGTCCAACGTTCCACAACAGCGCGATTTTTTAAGGCATTTCTTGCCTCGCACAACCACTCTGTGGAACCAACTGCCGCCGGCGGTCTTTCCGAACCGTTACGACCTGGGAACCTTCAAAAAGAGAGCGTACTCTTTCTTAAAAGGCCGGCAACGCATTTGTGAGCCCTCGGGTGTTGCAGGTGTTCATGGGCGGCGGTAATCACTTACCATCAGGTGAGCCTCCTGCTCGTTTGCCCCTTTTCTCCATAAAAAAAAAAAAAAAAAAAAAAAAAAAAAAAAAAAAAAAAAAAAAAAAAGTCCATGGAGTCTTCACGGTTGATCAGTGAGGCGATCTTTGCATCTTCCAGTTGAAGAGTTTTGGTTTATTGTTCGCAGAACAGAAGTGGAAATATCGTTAAGAACCCCGGTTCAAAGCCAAGAAGGAACAAGGCCATGAAAGATAAACGCACCCCATTAGGATTCCAGTGTACGGAATGCGATAACTACTTTGAGTAAGTTTGCATCTATCTCTCTCTCTCTCTCTCCATCAGCCTTTTGCAGTCCACTGCTGGACATGGGCCTCCCCAAGTGCAGGATCTTCAGCTTTCCTCTTCCAGCCACTATGGGCAACCTTTCTCAGGTCACTACTGTTTGCGAGACCATTCGTGCAACAGTCTTCGCGGCCCTACCACAGTTTAATTTCTCAGGAACAAGAAGATGAGGTGGAAGCACGTCCAGAAACAGCATCGCGACGGATTCGAATGCAGCACCTGTGGCAAAAGGTTCGCGTTCAAGAACAACCTGACAAGACACGAGCAGTGAGTGACTCTTTTAAAATTAGCCTAATTCTAATGGATCGTCCAAAAAGGAGTGTGTGTGTGTGTGTACAAGTAGACACACACTTTTTAGGGTTCCGTACCGATAGGGTAAAACGGGTAAATCCTATTACTAAGACTCCGCTGTCGGTCTGTCCGTCTGTTACCGGGCTGTATCTCATGAAGCGTGATAGTTAAACGGTTGAAATTGACACAAATGATGTATTGCCGCAATAACAAGAAATACTTAAAAACAGAATTCAAGATATTTGAGTGGTCCTATGGATAGTAGTACGGAACACTTCGTACGCGAGTTCATCAAGCATTTTTAGGGTTCCGTACCCGGAAAAACGGCACCCTATTACTAAGACTCCGCTGTCTGTCTGTCCGTCTGTCACCAGGCTGTATCTCATGAAGCGTGATAGTTAGACGAATTTTCAAATTTTCGCAGATTATGCATTTCCGTTGCCGCTATAACAACAAGCACTAAAAAGATATTCACGTGCGGCTCCCACACAGAAGACATGATTTTTGCCGTTTTCATAGACGCGCGAGTCCGGCTCACATTTGGGCCGTTATTTGCATTTTTTCCAAATTCCACGATCAGAGACGGACCGTTCCGCCGGGGCTGGATTTAGGAGAGGGCAAACTGGGCTGCAGCCCCGGGGCCTCCACAAAAGAGAGGCCCCCACAATAGAGACTTCGGAAAAAAAAATCTAATTCAGACCAGTAAAGTCTTCCTAGTACATTCACCTACAGTACTTGTAGAATTACGGTTACATTAAATATTAACGGAAATCAATGGGGAAAAAAAAAATAGCGCCTCCGCGCGGTAGAAGTGAAACTTCGGTTGCCCCGCATTCACTTCTCGCTCTATCTCTTCCTAGTCCCCCTCCCCAGGAGCGTTGAACGTTTAACGCAACATTGCTCTCATATCTCCCACACGGGGAGTCGCATTTTTTTATGTGAAAAGTTGACAAGCGAGCAGACGGTTCACCTGATGTTAAGTGAACACCGCCGCCCGTGGACATCTGCTACACCCGGGGGTTCCATATGCTTTGCACTTCCACTCTCCGCCGGTCTTCTGTGAGTTCGTGGTACCTACCCGCACGAGCCCGCCCATTCGTGCAACAGCCGAGGACGCTGCGTGGCCCCACCGCCGTGAGAAGTTTCACTTCGATAATTTGGGGCCACGGGGCCTCCGGGGGCCTTGCTTGGTCGCCTCGAGGCCTCCAGGTCTCCGAACCGCGTCCGCGTCCCCTCGCAGGACGCACTCACCGCGGCCGCGGGTGGCGTGCGCCGCGTGCGGCAAGCAGGTGCGCGCCGACCTGGTGCGCGCGCACGCCCGCACGCACGCGCAGCGCGAGCGGCTCGCGTGCGCCGCGTGCGAGCGCTCGTTCGCCAGCCGCGCGTCGTACGAGCACCACCTGAAGTACGCGCGGGCGCACGCGCGCGGCGACGTGCTGAGGTGGGCCGCGCGCCATCTTGATTTTTTTTTTCAGTCGACGATCGCTCTCCGTGACCCGTTTTGAAGTTGTACGTTTCTGCGATCGCGCACTGTCGCTCGTTGCCACGGCAACCGACGACAGCTGATCGACGCCGAGTGTATGATAAAACAGCGGACCGGGCAGACGTTGTCCTGTACACACCACTTAAATCCGATAACTTAAAAAAAATAATGATTGTGAATCGAAACCATTCTCGAATCGACCAGAAGGCACACAAAAATTTTTTATTAAAAACGGCCCAGCCGTTTAGGAGGAGTTCAGTAACGTACAATATAATTATATTTATAAATATTACTTCATTTTTTTTTTAACAACCCGCCCCGGCTTCGCGCGGATGCAATGTATTATACATATAAACCTTCCTCTTGAATCACTCTATCTAGTAAAAAATTATTACAAAATGACAAATATTGACATTAATATTTATACGATACTAACGTCACTCAATTGTGTTGCCTTCCCGGAAACCCTCCACTAACACTTAAACTTTACGATATGGTACGAATCTTTTGTGCGGGAATATAGAAAAGTGTTGTTTTTTGCCTTTTTCAGGCAATTTTTTAAATTTTTCTCTTCAGAAGAACCTTCCTCATACTTCAAGGAATATTATAAATAAAGAATTAGTGAAATCGGTTCAGCTGTTCTGAGACTTGCGCTTAGCAACACATTCAGCGATTCACTTTTATATATAGAGATTGCCTTTACTTTAGGATAACATTATCCTGTGTTGTAAGGACGCTTTACATACATAAATTTCACGCGGAAAAACACCCAGATGCGAAACAACTAGGTATCCACAAATAGTTGTTCCGTGTGGGAATCGAATCCCCGGAGCCGAAGCCAATACCTTTGCGCCACATTGTCATCGTTAAAACCAAACCCACCTAGATGTTTCTCGTTTAGGAAGCTTCTGTTTGAATTTAGTGGATGTTCGCATTTCTTTACGAATATTTTTCGTAACAGTTGCATCTGGGCGTTTGTCCGCGTGAAATTTATGTTTGTAAAACGTCCTCACAACGCGCGATATTGTTATCCAAATCCAAAGTAAGGCCAATGTTTTTTTTTTTTAAATATACCTCGTAATAAAACTTCCATTGTAAATTATGTTAAATTTAGGATGAGAACTACCTAAGTTGGCATCCGCGGTCCGCAGGTACAAGTGTTCGGTGTGCGATAAAGGATACAAGTCGAAGGGGGAGCTGAGAGACCACATAAACTACAGGCACATGGGCAAAACTCAGCACAAGTGTCCCATCTGCGCAAAGGTGCGTGGTTTTTCTTCAGGTTCCAATCCATGGTCATCAACTGAAAAGCGAATGACTAATCAGCCCTGCCGTTCGGGCTCATAGTATAGGGCTAAGGTATCCCCTGCCCGTCGTATAAGGCGACTAGAAGAGGACACGGATTGGCCATTACCATTTGTGCTGGTAACTGCGTGTACCACCACACCTTGATGTCAATGTGGGATGGATGAGCTGATGTCAATTGTATGGCGGTTAAGAAATGTCAAAATAAACCGACCGATGTCATTGAATGCTTTTACTGCACTAAAATATATTAAAATTATAATTATGAACTAAGGTATAAACTAGGTCGCGCATACGAACGCTTGCAAGTGTCAATATGCCGTGTGCGCAGTTTTGCTATACAATAGAAAATGTACGGCTTTGCCTGTACATACTGCCACTCGACAAAGAAGCAAATTGGAAGAGAAAATAATGATAGAATGTCAAAATGCAAATTAACAAATTAAAAATGTAAAGTAAAAAAATTAAAACTAAAAATTAAAAACATAGAATCCTAATCATAATAATTAATGTAAATGTATTAAAAATTAAATTGGAGACTTATACACTAAAACTATAATTGTCAAAAGATACTGTTCTGTTCAACTTTAGGGGGGGTGACATTGTCTAAGTGAGCATTGCACTGCACTTGCACTCGTCGCTGTTCACTACACTTGTCACTAACATTCTCCCGGCTGCGAGTCGCTCCGCTAGCGACGGAAGAAGCTCGTGTCGTCATCTCGTACGACTCCTGCCGAGGCTCTCTGCCACCAGGATACTGCTTGCATCTCCTCTTTTAAAATGCAACCTTGAGCTAGATTAATAACCCCACTTGCATGTAATTTTTTTAGCTGTAATCCCAACTGAGCATATAATGCGGATTGAGCATTCCTGGCAACATGAGAAGAGCCAAGAATCACCTGTTTGCAATTTGACCCATTTGTCGGCGCACTCGTTGAAACTTGATCTGCAGTATGTGTGGTCGTCATTGTTTACTATAAGTTTTATGTCATAAATAGATTGTTGAATATTAATTTATGAATATAAATTGGATGATTCATTATGCAAAGGTATTTTCCGTTTGTATGTTTGATACAATCGTCAATGTCAGCTTCTGATAATGGTACCACCAGATCTTTTTTCACATGAGACAAAAAAGCAAGGCGGTGGTCAGAAAGTTTATTCTATTGACTTTCTTTGTTCTAGTTCTTTTATGAGTGACAGTGGGCTGTTGTTTGTTATGATTGTCATTACTAGCAGTCTCCTCAGGATGAACAGGTAAATTGATCAGTTTGATTATAGGCCGTTTTAATATACCTCCTTTTGTCTTGATAGAGACGACGCGTACCTGGCCATCCTTGCCTGGGTGAGTCTCGGTAATCCGTCCGAGAGCCCACCTTGAAGGAGGCATGTTATCTTCCTTTATCAACACTATGTCATTTAGTTGCAGGTTCGGTTGTATTCGATGCCATTTATGGCGGCTTTGAAGATTATGAAGATAATCACTAGACCATTTTTTCCAGAATTGTTGATGCATGTGTTCTATCAGTTGCCATTTGTTCTTAATGTTATATGTGTCATGGAGATGTCAAAAAATGGCCTGGTGTCAAACATTCGTCTTCGGGATTTTCAGTCATTGCATATAAGGGCCTTGAATTGAGGCACGCTTCAATCTGTGTCAATAATGTGCTAAACTCTTCAAATGTAAGTTTTTGTTCCCCTAGTACTCGTTTGAGATGGTGCTTCATACTTTTAACAGCAGCTTCCCATAAGCCTCCTGCACTGGGCCATGCTGGGGAGTTGAAGTGCTAAGTAATTCCTATTCTGGCTATGTCATCAATAAATGAAGTGTTAATCATACTCAAGGCTTCTTTGTACTCATTTTTTAGCACGCGGGAAGCATCAAGAAAGTTAGTGCCATTGTCACTATATACGTGCTGAGGCACACCTCTTCTGCCACACATTCGTTTGAAGGCAGCCAGGAATGCAGCGGAACTCAAATCGGATACAAGTTCTAAATGTATCGCTTTCGTGGCAAAACATACAAATACTGCAACGTAGCCTTTTGTCGTCTTTATTCCTCTGCCTTTGTTCGCCTTAATCTCCACATGCCCTGTGAAGACAATTCCTGTGTGCGAGAATGGTCTCGATGGTGTAACTCTGGGTTCTGGTAAGTTTGCCATGAGTTGATTTAAGTTGTGGCGACTAAACCGACAACATTTAACGCAGCGTCGAATGTGTTTCTTAACCGCTGAGTTGCCACTGATTACCCAGTATCTTTGTCTAAGATACATCAACGTAAGTCCAGGGCCTCCATGAAGTGTTGTTTTATGAGCCTGGTCGATGAGCAGCTCAGTCAACCTTGACTTTTGAGGTAGTATGATAGGATGTTTTGCAATGTCAGTTAATTTCGAGTGCTCAAGTCTTCCACCTACTCTTAGAATTCCCCTGTCATCCATGAAAGGGTTTAATTTTAACAAGCTACTGTTTGATTTTACAGAGCCAGTACGCTTTAATTGTATTATGTCATCTTTGTATTCCTTTTCCTGTATAATTTTAACAAATATGCGAAGTGAATGTTCTAATTCATCCGAAACCAAATTATTGTTGTACTGAAGAGGTCTATATGTCATACTCGAAGTAGGAATTGTAGATCCCTGTTGGTCAGTTGAAGCGCATCGTATTGCAACCTTGTGCCTCGCACTTGTTATGAAATGAAACACCCAGCTCATGACCCGTGCTGCTCGGGTTATTGAACTATGTTTGTTTAATAGCTCTTCGATAAGTTGATAATTAGTCACTTGGGTTGCATAATATGCTTGTAACTGTTTTTTCTTGGCCACATCGGGTGTGTCAATTTTTATCGGATTTTTTACAGATATGTCATTTTTGAGCCACAAAGGCCCTTCCCACCACAACGAATGTGTACTTAACTGCGATGGGCTTAATCCTCGTGTTGCACAGTCAGCTGCATTGTCTTCAGACCTCGTATGCCTCCAACACGATGGCGGAAGTATTTCAATAATTTGTTGCGTGCGGTTAGCGACGAACGTTTTCCATCTTGATGGACTGTCCTGGAGCCAACCTAATACAATCATTGAGTCTGTCCAGGCGAACGTTTTTGCTTGAATTTCATTCCAAAGGTCATTTATTGTTGTCAATTTTTTCGTAATATACTCTGGCGTTTTTCTGCCAATTGGGTCTTTTCCAAAATTGATGTTTAGTCGCTCCAACGCCTCGATGATGTCCTTTTGATGTTGGAACACGCCCTCCATTGCAAGAGAAAAAAAAAGGAAAGATCTTACTTGTCAACTGTAGCTGTAGATTGTCACGGCGCGTGCGCGTGACTTACGGAGATGTCAGGATTGGTGGTAGATGTTGCAGTTCAAACCTAATATGCTGCTGCCACAATCGACTAAGCCAAGATGTTGATGTCAAAAGTCAGGATAATATCCCGATGCACTGTCAATGTCAACTTAACGCACTATAATCCACTGTCAGTTCGTATATTGAACCAAACCACGTGTCCGATCCACTACTTATTCGTTTCCCGAAACGCGAGGTTTTTTCCAATACTAAAGCTCGAAGGACCAAAAAATGTGCTGTTAACTGCGTGTACCACCACACCTTGATGTCAATGTGGGATGGATGAGCTGATGTCAATTGTATGGCGGTTAAGAAATGTCAAAATAAACCGACCGATGTCATTGAATGCTTTTACTGCACTAAAATATATTAAAATTATAATTATGAACTAAGGTATAAACTAGGTCGCGCATACGAACGCTTGCAAGTGTCAATATGCCGTGTGCGCAGTTTTGTTATACAATAGAAAATGTACGGCTTTGCCTGTACACCATTATAGAGTCACGTTGTTCCCCGTTCAGAAACTGAGGTTTATGGTAAACCTTATCCGTTTCCTTCGCCATCTTGAAACAGCTCGACTGTTTTTTTATGTGAAAAGTTGCCAAGCGAGTAGGCGGTTCACCTGATGTTAAATGAATACCGCTGTCCATGGACATCTGTTACACCCGAGGGTTGCCGACGCGTTGACAACCTTTTGAAAATTGGGCTCCGGCCACCTCACTCGCCAGACGAAACGCGAAAGTATTATACTTACACTTCACGACGGTCTTCCGTGAGGTCGTGGTACATACAAGCCCATTCGTGCAACAGCCGAGGCTGCTACGTGGCCCACAGTTAGTGCAGTACAGAGTGACCGAGACTGAAGTATACGTAATACGTTATGTAGCTTTCTACGCCAAAATCGGTCCTTGTGGTAACAACAGTCGAAAAGGTCCTTAGTAAGGTCCCTTTATTTCTAAAGGTGCGTATATAGTCTAAATGTTACGTGTGTGTGTGTGTGTGTGTTTGTGTGTATCAGGCGCTGGCGACGCGTCGCTGCGTCACGCGCCACGTGAAGCGCGCACACGACGGCATAAAGGAGAACCAGCGAGACAAAATATGCCAGCAGTGCGGGAAGGCTTTCAGAGTGAGCAACACGGAGTTTTACTACTTTTTAGCGGCCGCCCATTAATCACGTGATGTTTTTATTAGCATTTTTAAACCCCCTTCCTGCCCCTTGGTTATACGTGGTGAGGTTTAAGACAAGAGAAAGTTAGAGATCGCTCGTTTGACGAAAAAATATACACGTGATATCTTACAACTTACTGCCAATGAAGGGTGGGGGTGGGGGCGATAGGACTGTCACCAGGCTGTATCTCATGAACCATGATAGTTACACAGTTGCAACTCACAGATGATGTATTTCTGTCGCCGCTATAACAACAACATATTCTAAAAAAATAAAAATAATACATTTGAGTGGGGCTCCCATACTGACATTATGGTACGGAACCCTCCGTGCGCGAGCCCGACTCGCACTTGGCCGGTTTTTTAACGAAGTGGCAAACGAGCTGGCGGTTCACCTGATGTTAAATGATAACCGCCGCCCATTGACATTTGCAACACTTGCAGATGCGTTGCCTCCCAATTAAATTGGCCTCTGGCCACCCCGCTCACCCCATGCCGGTCTCTTTACCGCCTTACCCCGACGGACGCGGCCGTCAGTATAGATGTCGTTCACAGGACAAGAAGGGCTTGCGCGAGCACGAGCTCATCCACACTGGCGAGCGGCCGCTCTCCTGCGAGATATGCGGCTGCACGTTCAGGCAGAACGCGACTCTGTACACGCACAGGAAGCGGGTGCACAAGATACACCCGCAGAGGGCGCGGGTCGAGCTGATTGAGGGCTAGGCCGCGAAGTAATGGTGGGGAATATCCGCCATAAAACAGCGCCGACACAGCACTGACTGCAAGGAGGCGCCTGGGCCTACTGCATCCATTGACTTATTTATTTATTTATTTATTCATCCTTTAGCATTATTCTCCCAGTCAACCTTGGGGTGGTACAGAGAAAATTAGGACTTAGCGCACACTTGATTTATATCTGGGGGGGGGGGGGGGGGGGGGGGGGGGGGGGGATTAGATCTTTTTGCGTAACGGATTACAATGCCCTTTTCAGCAATATATAGAGTGATCCAAGGAGAAGGATACTGATACTATACATGCATTTTATTAGAGAAAAGCCGAGAATTTTTTTGAGAAGCCGATTTGTATAATGTCCTGATGTCGTAAAATACATTATTTTTGTGCGCTTACATTGCGAACGTTGGCTAAACCTTATGAAATAGATCAAATTAATTTACTAAGGAAATGTAGATCTTAAAAATATCTCTAGAAAAGTCCGCGATTTTATGTGTTTATATCCGTAAGATAACCCGCATTAACCAATTTTATCTTTTACATATTACAAGAAAATTATGGGTTGTTTACCAAAATACTTTAAATAATGCAATAATGCAAATGAATCAATTAGATACATTGTGCATTTCGTGTAGATCAAAATTGTTCTTTACAGCATATTCAAATGAATATCTTAGATGATATTGTTACGTGTTAGGGGTTCGAAGGATTTGGAGAGAAAGACCTGCTGACTCTTTTGAAGACTTTTATTCAATAGCACTAGGTCCAACACAAAGCACTAGGTCCAACACAAAGCACTAGGTCCAAACACTAAGCACTAACGATGTCCTGATGTAGCGAGGTATGGTGACGAAGCCTCACTGCAGCTCTGACCTCCAGGTCTTTGATTCCGTCCACAAATGCTTGAACAATGTTCGTGTCTACCATCTTGGTGTCGGCTCCTGGGTGTGCCTTCCTGACGAGTTTTTCAATTTCCAACGCCCATTGTTGTAGTCCTTCTCCTGAGCGTTGGACTCTGTCACGCAGTTGGGCACGGAAAACGTGCTCCAGGTGTCGCTCCCCGTATCTGGATTCAAGTGCCTCCATCAGGTCTTGGAACCCATTTCCTGTATGTGGCAGTGCTTCCAGGACCGACAAAGCCTGCCCCCTAAGTGCAACAGTGAGAGCGGTCAGGCATTGCTCTTCCGTCCAACCGTTGGCAGTAGCAACAGTCTGGAATTGCCGACGATAAGCGTGCCAAGAAGTAGTGCCGTCGTATGGCGGCACTTTCACTCTTGGTCCTTGCGCCACTCCAGTGGTTCCACTAGACATCGCGACTCCCGTGGTTTCAAGGCGCACTACTTTCTTCTGTAGTTCAGTGAGACCGGTTTTCACATTTTCAACATCCAATCCTAACCCGTTAACTCGTTCTTCGACTACGTCGACATCACTTCGAAGCCTAATCACCGTGTTACTAACATCATTTATAGCCCAAAGCGCTTTTGGAGGTCTTTTTGTTGCTCTTGTGACGCTTGCAAAGCGCTGAGCTTGCGTTCTTGTGACTCCTTCATTGCCTGAATTTCAGCCCTTTGGAGCTCCATTAATTTAATTAAACTTCCTAATTGAAGAGCCACTTCAGGGGCTGCAGAAGCTGTGGTGGCGCCGGTGGGCGTGGCCAGTGGGCGTGGCATGAGTGGGTGTGTCCCGGTGGGTGGAGTCAGTGGGCGGGGCTTGCTCAAACGTGGGTGGGGCCTGTCCCGAAATGGGCGTGGCTTGAACCAAAGTGGGCGGGGCTTGTGTCTGAGTGGGCGTAGTCTAAGTGGCGTGATCGGTGGGCGTGGCCGGGTCGGTTAGGACAGTGGGCGGGGCTTGACCCACAGTGGGCGGGGCTTGGTCCCCAGTGGGTGTGGTCTCCGCAGCTCGTGCCCTTGTCCTGACACCCTCCTTGAAGTCCTCTCTCGGAGTCAATGGCATCTCCAAATCCCACTTCTGACACCAGTTGTTACGTGTTAGGGGTTCGAAGGATTTGGAGAGAAAGACCTGCTGAATCTTTTGAAGACTTTTATTCAATAGCACTAGGTCCAACACAAAGCACTAGGTCCAACACAAAGCACTAGGTCCAAACACTAAGCACTAACGATGTCCTATTTTTGTAGCCAAGTCGTCGGTTTCACTGGTATCGGTCTTGATCACTAGTTTTCACTCCGAAATCGCCTCGAAGGTAGCTCAAACTGAACTGTCATCGCTCGCCTCCCTGCGGCTTTTTATATGGGCCGAGACCGGTTCCGGACTAATCCAGATAGATCCTTCCTGGAAAGTACCCGACACGCACGAACATGTTCGTGATTCCGGAAAGTTCGCGAATGTACCCGGTTTTCGAGACTATAGTTTCACAGCAGTTCCTCTAACGCCATCTAGTGTTGAATAGGGGGTTTTATGTCGTCTTTGTTCTTTAGTGATGTTACTAGTTGACGCTAGATGGCGTTAGTTCCTTTTTGTGTTCATAACAATATCATAGAATAGAGTGGGGGCAAAGCGGTCGGCGGGCTCGCGCTTTTTAACCTCTAGCTAAAACATGTTTGCACTGTTTCATGAAAAAACGAATGTAAATATTGTATATGAAATTTTATCCTGTAGAGATCGTAATCATAACATTATCTACACTGCCCCACATTAATATCTATGGGCGGGAACGCCAGTTGAAAATAAAAGATAAAAATTAACCCAAAAAAGTCTTTCATTTGTAATAAATAAGTGTTGCTCCGTGACGTTACAACTCCTGTTACTCCTCCAAATTCTATTCGTTTCTATTTTTAATCCGCCATTGCAATTAACAGTGCTACTACAGTCCAATTGGAAAATACACAATATCTCAATGCCAAAATGATGGCCATTTTTAAAACTACAATGCCTACAGGGGATTCCTATAATATTATCTTTGAGTTGACAACCTACAATGTAAAATAAATTGATAAATAGACATTTCATTTATTCAATTTTTTGTCGATACGAGCCAACTAAAATAAAAATCGATATATTAAGAGACTTAAGTATATACCGAATATAGGTACTGTTTTTCGCATCCATTACTCATTTAAAACGAGTTTTGAGAAATACTTGAATAAATAAACAAATGGCCCAAAACATTGCTTCAAATGCTAAATGACAATGTAGATAAAAGACGTTAAGATTTTCGTCGGTGTGGCAATCAGCCGTTTAGGTTAGTGGCTAAAGGGTCAGGCCGCAAATGTCAAAGACGTGGGTTCGATTCCCACAGCGGCGACAATCTTTTATATATTGTCAGTTTTCGCATAATTATTCATACATATTTTCAAACCTTTCAAAATTCGTAAAAAATAATAGACATGAATATTTAGTTCAAAAGAATTGTTGAAGTTAACGATATGCGAGGAGCAATCGAAATTGACACGAATTCGATATTCTAAAATAAATATATCGCGATAATTGTATGAAAAATATTGATATTTTGATATTTTTTGCCCATGCCTACAACCAAAATTCAAATCAAAATGACGGTCAGGGTTGCCAACGTAGGGGTTTTCCTTTCAAATTTAGGGGGTAAACAAACTCGTTGGGATTGTTTTAGGGGCAACATATAGCATCGAATAACATAAACCTAAATTTAGGATCGAAATATTCCTGAAAATAACTCTAAATATGTTTAGAGTTATTTTTCGGGATATTTGGAATTCTTATATTCTTTCCTACGATTTATTTCTTCATTTTCTATGATTTAGAAAAATAAAGGGCTTGAAGTAACGCAATTCACCCAATCATATTTATTTGTTGATCTACCAATATCTAGAACGATTTTTCGTGACTAAGAATGCGGAGTTGAACTAAGGAGAGTAGAGATAAAAAGTGTCCGTCAAAACGCATTTAAATATTTACGAAGATAAACTTTAAGCCCGATTTATAGTGTAAACCGTCGTACAGTGGCGAATCAACTCGGCTTGGAAGCTGCCTTGCAACTAGACGCAAATAGAAACTATTTCTATTTTTGGTGCAAGTCCACCCTCGTGAACACGCTTAAACCAATGCAATTTTGCATTGTAAAATACCTATTCACGTATAAGTTAAGTTAAATGTATGGGTCACGATATTGTTATATAGTTTTATAAATATACACCGATTTAGATTTATTTTTTAGGGTTATTTTCTAAAATGTGTTTTGGGGCAGGTTGTCTCAGCCTAACGAGGGCTGGTAGTCACATGTGACAACCAACCCCATGCATGTCTGCTGGCTTTTTTTGGCTTTTTGGAGTTTTGCTACATAATAACGTCCGAGTTTGCTGTCTCCATTAAGTTGAAAGTTCCACACTCTTGGGATTCAAACAAGCTAGCTGGCCGCGATTGGTTTACGTCGTTTATGAAGAGACATCCTTCTCTGTCCATTAGAAGACCTGAATCCACTAGATACAGCTATCAACTGTTTTTTTTTAAACTTGAAATATGGAACATGGACGAAATTGGGGGGGGACTATGGTGCAAAAAGTCCTCCGCGCAAGCCACGGACAGCTGATTACTGATACATTTGCCAAAATTGTGAATCTAAATATCCAGACTGGTTACTTGGATTGACTTCATATTATATCGTCCGCACTTTTATTTATAACGTCCAAATAATTCATATGATATAAATTTCATTGATTTGCCATGAATGTGGGCACTTAAAAATTCAAAATCCAAAAATGTACTTGACACTTCACTTGCCGTGGTGTAGACAATCAAATTAGTACAGTGGCTGTCAACAGGCAACAAAATTGCACGTATTTTTCGTCCATTTCGATAGGGAAATGTCACTGTACTTGCTGTGGTGTAAACAGCCACTTGTCCGGTGCCTGCCACTGGCCACTGTACTTGTACTCGCTACTCGCTAGTGTCCTTTACCAATGTAATTAGATTTAAAAAAAGCGCCAAAAGTAGTAAAGTTTTTTTTGTCATTCGTTATGAATCAAATTTTTGGAATTACGGTAACAAAATCGGTCATCTTAAGAAATTATAAGAGACAAATTTTTTTTAAAATGAAACGCCCTACAATTATTGTTTAAACACTTTTTAGAAGACCAACATTTTCGCTGCAATAACCTTCACTGTTTATTATTCCATTCATGTGAAATTAAGGCATTAAATATTTGTTATTTATCATTTTTTAATAATAATTATTATTTTGTTAAGGGATTTTAGGGGTTTTTGACATAAAATTTGGGGACAAATATTTTCGAGTGTTGGTAACATTGATGACAGTATCATAGTGCTGTGAAGCTGTGATGAGAGTTGTCAATTGTCGATTTTTTATAAAAGTAACATGTTAATAGCTACGTAATAAAATTACATAAAATGGGTGATAAGTTACTAAAAATGTATTTTTGCAATTGTTGTCTTTCTCGCGAACCTCCGTTTATTAATCTCGGTCGTTGTAAACATGCGAGTTTCTTTTCAAATTTGTTCGAAAATAAGGTAAGCAATTTTATTTAATTTCAAAAATGTTTTTTATTATTAGTAATTGTTATTTTAATAACTCCAAAGTTTTGATCAAACACCGCGATAAAGGCTTTTAAATAGGTGTAATTGTTTTCGTTGATGTAGTGATCTCGTATAAAATCGGTGTCTTACTTCAATTCAATATGGCTGACAAATATATTTACTTTGGTTATTCATGGAATTGACTTAAAATCATTACGTTCACATTAGTTTACCGTTTATCAACAAAATTTTATTTTCAAATTAATGGACTATAGAGACGGGATTATGTGGTTTCCTTCAATGATACTGAACTATTGAAAAATTTTAATTTCTCGTATCGATGAAAAAAACTTCTGTTTACCTATTTTATGTACAAAAGATATGAGGCGTTTTTCTACTTTTTTGCCCAAAATAATTGTTAGCCATTTACCGTTTACACACTATTTTATGTATTATATGTCTTAAAATATAATATTCCAACATCAGTGGTTGAAATAGAAATTAAAAATATATAACGCTACTACATAATACATTCAAAATTGCTGTCATCTTGTTTTTGTAAAATTTAAGCCTTAGCAAACGATAATTGTTAAGTGAATTATCCAAATGGCTTACATAAAGTAGTATTAAAAATATTATATATATACAGTCTATCATATTTTTTATGATATTTTCTGGTACAATGCTTATTAAGCATTGTATCAGACAATATCATAAAACTTTAACTTAAAATACCTCGATATTCACTTATTATGATAAGCTTTACGTAGTAAAATTCACTTGAAGCACAATGAATTTTTGCACTAGTAAGATGGAAAGATAAGTCTAGAACACAGTTTCTAACTATCATTGGTTGTAAGGGCTTCATATGATAATACTACTTTGTATTAGTTGTGTTAACTATAAAATATGATTAAAAAAAATCAGTTTTGAGAAATTTTTTTTTTTTGGTTGGAAGGTGGCAAGGGAGTTGGTGGTTCACCTGATGTTAAGTGATAACTACCGCCCATGGATATTTGCAACACCTGTAGGGTTGCACATGAATCGCCACCTTTTGAAAAGTTGGTCCTGGCTATGTCACTCACAAGACGAAACATAGAACTATGACACTACCACTTAACCCTGGAGTTCTGTAAGGTTGTGGTACGTACCTGGACGGGTATGCTCTTTCGTCCATCAGCCCAAGCTGTTGTATGGCACACCCACAGTTGAATATTTTATATTTCTTTTTAGGTGAACACTAAAGATATGTATGTGTGTCGTCTATGCCACAGTATTATAAAGAAGATAGACTGCTTCAAACATCAGGTTGAGGAATGTAACTCAGAATTAAATAATGCTGTAAGTATAGAGCCACATTATAATAGATTAAAAAGAGATATTATTCATTTTTTGTTTGTATACATCAATCATCATGAGTGACTTGGTGGCGCTGTCCTTAAGCCAATTTATTTGCTTTGGTGGTGGGGAAAGTGTGTTCGATTCTCACACAGGACCAATAGTTTATTAGTTCTGGATCTAGGTGTTTATTGCCTAGGAGAGTTGAAGTAAGGCAGGTGGTCGCTCATAAAAAAACTTAGCCTGTGTTGTGCCAACCGCATCAAGGTGGAAAAAAAAAGGAGAAAAATGAAGAACAATGAGTGTTTTGTAGATCTCAATTACAGTTTTTCATTATTATCAGAAAGAAGTTGTAATGTATAGTTTCTGAAACTACTAAGTCAGCCTATACCTCTTTGGATGTATAGCAATTGATAATGTTCTGTACCAAAATAATAGAGATTTTCTCTATCACCGAAACCTTCTGCTCTTATATACGAAAACAAAAAAGTCATTATAACTTCACTCCAAATCCCCTTATGAGGTTAAAACAGTTAATCATATGGGCATACTAAATTATAAGTTATTATAATCAAACAACGATAAATGTACGATAGTTATCATAAACGGTATGATTGTTACTATATTAAACATATTAGGCAGTAGAATGTGACACTAGATTGTTTTCAATTTCAGGCCGATAAGCTGCTCGCGACGAAGCGCGACAGACTCGTCGCGTCCAAAATTGAGATAAACTCGACCGTGGACGGCCGCCCAGTCGAGGTCGAGGTCAGAGAGCTGAGCTCGTCCGAGTTGAACTCCAACGCGTCACTCTTCACAACCGTGAAGGTGGAACGCGACAGCGATTCTGAGCGGGAGTCGGAGCTGCCTTTGGCGCGCTTGAGCGGCAGAAGAGGAAAGAAGAGCGACAAGCGACAGAAGAGGGCGGCAGATAGAGCGAGAGGGAAGTACGACGGAAAGATACGTGTCGTGCTCCTCACTAGGGAGCAGATGATGCGAGGAGAGGCGCGCTGACGCGGCGAAGAGCTCGTACCGGAACCTGCCGTTCAAGTGCGAAAGCTGCATCACTGGCTTCGACCATGAGATGACCCTGAAGGTGCATATGGAGCAGAGGCACTCACAGGTGATTATAAGCACAAAAATGAGATTTTGGTCGGCGTGAGATGTGCCCTTTAGCTCAGTGGCTAGACTGCCAGGCGTGGAACCGAGGAAGCAGATTCAAATGCCCAAAATGGCGAAAAACTTTTCGTCCATTTTTCTATAAATTTTAAATTTCAACTTAAGCGCAGAGAATAGCACTTTAAAAAAATTATCATAAATTCTATTATTGTGTTAGTTCATTTAAATTATTGTTGCCTATTTAAGCCGGTGACTCGGTTCTGGGATCTAATAGAATTAAAATGAATACTCAAACATTATACATTACATTCTACTTATCATTTAGGTATTTATATAGGCTTGCGCCATGTAAGATTTAGAATGTAACATATAAGAAAATATGTTATTAAATTATTGTTTAAAGCTTATTACTCTTCATTGAAATCCATTGAGTCATTTCAGAAGCAATACTAGATAAACTTTCAAACAGACAGATAGGCATAATTTCTAAAAATGTTCAGGTATCAGTAACTCATTTGGCATTTAGAATTTCTAGAACAGAAATTTCAATTTTATCTTTGGGACACCAATTTCTGCCATTGGAACAGTTTTCAGCAGAGCAGAGCAGATATTAAATACATTTTATTAGTTATTAAAACCACCATAGGAACAGCAAAATTCAAAGAGTCGTCCTGGGAGATCGACTTGAGCGGTTGTAGGTTTTTGACGTACCCACGTGCTTAAGTTTATTTTCTGTAATTTATAATCAAATATTTCAGTTGTTTTTTGTGGTTGTGGTTTTATATTATTATTATTAGTGGGTAAGTGTTATTGTATTACATGTAATCGTTTTCAAGTACGATGTGTGATGCAGGAGATGATGATATTCCTCCTGGTGGAGGTGGGGTCTTGTCCTCTGATGTAGACATGTCGGACCCTATTACTGGTCAATGCGCTTCATCTAGTCGTCCTCTGAAAAGATCAGCGGATACAGAAATCGCCAGTATCCCAAAGAAAAATATAACTCCATCTGCTTCTATTCAGGATTCATATACCAGGCCTGGTTTTGAACGTGATAAAAAAATTAGGTATGATGAATTTAGCCAAGGTCCTTTCACTGTCCATGTGTTTCGTATTGAAGCTCATCCTTCTGAAGGGCTCTCTATTAAAATTCTTAACTTTGCTCAGCTATTGCATAAAAACAAGGTTACTGGTATTGTTTGTGATGGTATCAAGGTATTAGGCCGCAATAAAATTTCTGTCCAATTCGAAAATTATATAGAAGCTAACTCATTTATCCAGAACCCAATGTTACTCAAAAATAACTTCTGTGCAGAAGTCCCAAAGTTTTTAGTTTCTCGAATGGGTGTTGTCTGTCAAATACCTTTGGACTGGACCCTCGAAGAGTTGGTTTCTGGTCTACAGTGTCCCTCCAATTGTGGACCTGTGATAAAGGCCAGACGAATTTATACTAAAAATCGCCTTAATAATAATCCTAAGCCAACTTGGGAACCATCCACCACAGTAGTGTTGACCTTTCTAGGTCAAACCCTCCCTGAGAAAGTTTACTGTTTTCATGCTTCACTTCCAGTTTCTGTTTATCAACTTCCTACCATACAGTGTCATAATTGCTGTAGATTTGGACATGTTCGTGCCCAATGCAGATCTAAATCTAGATGCTTTAAATGTGCGCAACAACACCCTGGAGATCTATCTGATGCTTTGTGTCTTCTCTGCACAGGACATCACAAAGCCACAGATCCTACATGTCCAGAACATACACAACAGAAGAACATTAAACACATAATGTCTCATTCATCATTCCTATTCTCAAACCTGGCAAAGACCCAGATGAAGCCTCATCTTATCGCCCCATAGCTCTCTCCTCTACTTTATGTAAAATCATGGAACATTTAGTCAAAAACCGTTTAGAGTGGATCCTAGAAAACAGGGGAATACTATCCAATAATCAATTTGGTTTCAGACGGGGTATGGGAACATTGGATAGTTTAAGTGTCTTAGTTTCCAGAATTCGTCTAGCTTTCAGTGAAAATCAACAGTCTTTCTGGATGTGCAATCGGCCTATGATAATGTCCAGATTCCAATACTCAGGCAGAAAATGCTCCAACTGAGTATCCCAGTGAGACTGGTAAATTTCATTTTTATTCTATACAGTGGCCGTTCTATTTCTGTGCGCGCTGATGGATCCATTCAACCACCTAGATTATTATGGAAGGGGTTACCCCAGGGCTCCGTACTTAGCCCCTTGTTATATAACGTATAAACCTATGATCTTGAACACTCTGTTTCCCCCTTTTGTAATATTTTACAATACGCTGATGACATAGCCCGGTACTACATTTCATTTTCATTAATTGATGCTGCTGATAAGGCTAACTCTGCACTAACTTATTTAAGTGATTGGCTTAACAATCAAGGGTTATCCTTAGCAGTACCGAAATGCAATGTGGTGGTATTTACAAGAAAGCGCCATATTCCGAGCCTCAATTTGTTTATTGATGGATATTCTCTTAGCATAGTAGACAAAATAAAATTTTTAGGTGTTATATTAGATTCTAAGTTAACTGGTGTCCACCATCTTAATTATATTAGCAAATAGTGTTAATGTCATAAGATCTCTATCAGGTGTCCGTTGGGGTTCTCATCCATTTTGTCAAAAGTTATTATATAATGCTATTGTTAGATCATATTTTGATTATGGTAGTTTTTTGTTGGAACCATGTAATAAGAATGCATTAAATAAATTACAGAAGATTCAATTTAAATGTCTGCGCATCATCACTGGTGCCATGAAATCCTCTCCTAATTTGGCATTACAAGTTGAATGCCTAGAGCCTCCCCTTCACCTTAGAAGATAGTTTCTTGCTGATAGATATCTATTTAACATTTCTCAATACATGCATCACCCCCTTTTAAAAACCTTACATTCCTTAAGTCTCAATTAGCAAGTACTTCTGATTACTGGAAACATAAGGACTTGCCTCTGCTACTTAAGTCATATCGAAAAATTTGCACATCGAAAAACACCCAATTTTTATGGTTGACTATATGTCATTAGTTTATAGGCCTAGGGTTATTCTGTCCTTGGGAATTGATAAAAACTCACCCTACCCACACATACAATTTAATAGGATTCTTGAAAATGAATTTAAAGGTTGGCTCACTCTATACACGGATGCCTCAAAATTGTCTGCAAACTTAGATGTAGGTGCTGCAGTCTGGATACCTAAGTATAAAATTATATTGACCTTTAAATGCCCCTCTGTAACTTCTATTTTCAGTGGGGAAGCAATAGCTTTGCTAGAAGCTGTATCTTATATTAAATCTCATCATCTTAATAAATCTATAATTTTCTCCGATTCATATAGTTGCTTACAAGATATCTTAAAAGTTCCATTTCGCTCTAAGGAGAACTTTTTCATAACACTCAAAATTAAACAAGCATTATATAATTGCCATTGTGCTGGTATAGAAGTAGTTTTAGCATGGATTCCAAGTCACTGTGGTATTTCTGGAAATGAGCAAGCAGATTGTTGTGCCAAAGAAGCAATCCAGATGGGATGTTCCACCTATAATAAATGTTTTGTTCGTGATCTGCGGCTATCTTCTAAACAGGACATGATAAGAACTTGGGGTACTATGTGGCAAATTATTTCATCAATCAATTGGACATAGAAGGTGTAAATACTATGGCTTAATTCAACCATTTATCCCTACCAAACCTTGGTTCTTTAAATACCACTGCTATAACAAAAATACCAAATCTATTATCATCAGGTTAAGACTAGGACATGTGTGCTCTCCAGTGTTCTTGGCTAAACTTCATATTCGAAACACTTCCTTGTGTGAATGTGGGCTAGATGAGGGTACACTTGACCATTTATTTTTTAATTGTCCTTTGTTAACTGTCTCTTTATACAATTTACTTCCATCCAATGTTGCACGCCCTGTTAAGTGTCTATTAACTCTTGTTTATACTCCATTTATTAAAACTCTAGTTAAATTTATAGAGATTAACAATATATGTCTAAGTTGTTGTCATCAATTTAAAAAAAAAAATTATGTCCTGTTTTTATTTTTCATATATTTGAGTGTTGTCTTCCATTATTAATTTGCATGTTACTAACGTTGTGTTGTTCCTTTGTTTACGGGTACACAAATGAAATAATTTTAAACAAAATAATATATATTTTCATTGTCCTAACCCTTTCAAGTTGATCTCAAAGTTCTTAGTTATTGGCAAAATCACTGACGTATCAGTGGAGCCATAGTAGGGGAAAAAAAAAAAAGAGTCGTCCTGGGTGAGATTAACCTGTAGTATCATTTGCAATAATCCATTATTTGTAAAAAAAAATTTTAGAGGGAGGGTGGACTGGAGTGTGATGTTTGCAAGTCTGTATTGAGCACCGAGAGATCCTACAAGGAGCACACAACGCGACATGTAAGACGGTGAGTGTTTTGGATGTATTTATGTAATATTTAACCTAGTTTTGCGGATTTTGTGATGTGGTGGATTCAGTGATTATATTGTCATTATGTAATTATGAATAAGTACATGATAATTTTATACTTTTTTTTGAGCGACTGTTACCAAGTGGGTATTTTCTGGTTTATTTAATGTTAGAGCAGCTTGGCCTTTATTCTTTTTTCTTTTTTTGTTAAACTTGACAGCAACGGACACTTTAATACTTATGAAGTATCTTCATGTCTTCATTTTACACCTGATCTTCTAATACTTAACAAAGCATAATGGTGATGATGATGACTGCCTTATTTCTAACTCTAATGTATTATCCACTGTATTAAAAAATAATTTGCTAATAATAATAAAAAAATGCTTTTTTATTTGAAAAATACCATAAATAATGTTTTATTCAATAATTAAGTGATGATAATATATAAACCATAAAAATTTATCCATTATCAAACCTATTATACTATAGGTTCCCATCACCAGAAATAAAATAATGAACATAGTTTTTAGTGTCCCAGACATGACAGTCTGGACAGACAGTAGTTTATAACTATACTTTATCTAAAATATTTGTTCATTTATAAAAGAAAAGTATGTTTATCAGTTTGCTTAGTTTGCGTCTAGATAATGTTGTGTATTAAATGTTTCCGGAAAATGTTTGTTTTCCGGAAAATGTTTGTTACATAAATTTCACACCCAGATCCGAAGCAATTATGTTTGGGTCACAGAAATAGTTGTCTCGTGTGGGAATCGAACCCAAGACCTTCGGCGTTGAACCTAATGCCTTGACAACTGCGCCACGGAGTCATCAACATCATTAATTGACTGTTCCTCATTTGTCCCACAGCTACGAGTGCGTCGCTTGCGGCAAACGCAACAACAACGTGCACCCGGTGATAAAGCATTACAACGAGCAACACGGCAGCATCAGCACCCGGTTTACTTGCGCAGAGTGCGGCTTCACCACCGAGTGGGTGACTGTATAGATTTGCGCTTCATCCCATCTGCCCATTTACGGAATCCTTTCTTTTAGACCTGGCTGTGCTGGTTAATGCTTGTACAACCACACCTTAATATCTATGAGGGATGGATGAGTTTATGTCAATTGGATGGCGGTTAAGAATGTCAAAATAAACCGACCGAGGTCACTGCTGCTTTTACTGCACTAAAAAATATTAAAACTATAATTACGAACTAATGTATAAAACTAGGTCGCGCATACGAGCGCTTAGAAGTATCAATATGTCGTGTGTGCAGTTTTTCTATACAATAGAAAATGTGCGCCTTTGCCTGTACACCGGCTGTTCATTCCACAGACTGGCACAGTAAAAGCGACATTAAAGTTTCCTTCTTTATATTATCCAAGTATTGTTTAATTTTCTTTGTGTTCGTAAAAACTGTGCTAGGGCCATGTTGCCACTGTTGCACAAATGGGTATATATGATGTCCGGGTAAGTATCACTTTGCAGAAAACCGGCGTGAAGTGAAAATGTTATACTTATATATACTTCGGCGTTTCGTCTGATGAGCGATGTAGCTGGGTCTCGCTTTATTAAAAGGTGGCATCGCATCTGCAACCGTACGGGTGCTGCAAATGTCCTAGAGCGGCCGTTATCACTTAACACTGATAAACCAGCTCGATTGCCACATTCTCAGATAAAAAAAGTGATTTGAAGTAAAAGCAACATTACTTTTTTTTTTATTCAAACATATCAACATATTACCTGAAAGACGTCCGCTGCTGAACAATGGGCTTCCTGAGTGTGAATAACAGTTTTCCATTGTCATCAGTTTTTAGACTATTGCATAGAAGCTAAGAGTCACGCAAGGAGCTAATGGAACGATATAAAAACCGGAATGAGGAAATTCAACAAACTAGTCCATTGTATGACATAAATGTTGTTGTATATGTATTTGTTATGAAATTTGAAAATTGGAACATTTAATTTGTGTTGTGTCGTCATAAACAAATCCATTTTAGAGTTGAAATCTAACCAGGAATGCGATTCACCTGATGTTTAAACCATCACATTTTACTCCGTGGCGCAGTCGCCAAGGTGTTGGCTTCGGCGCCAGGGGTCGTGGGTTCGATTCCCACACGGGCAAACTATTTGTGTGACCCGCAGATAATTGTCTTGCATCTGGGTGTTTGTCCATGTGTACACAGGATAATGTTATCCTACAGTAAGGGTAATGTTTTCAAAAAATAAGAAAAGAGACAAAAAGAAAAAAAGAGTACCGCACACGGACATGTACTTTGTCACATGAATAAAATATATTACAAAAACTATAATTGTTTAATGGGAACTTTTTTGGCTGTTGCAGGTCGCACAGCCGCTACAGATACCACCGCGACAAGCACAAGGCGAAGGTTGAGTGCAAGGAGTGCGGCAGCACCTTCGTCAACCCCACCGGGCTGCGGGTCCACATGTTGTTAGTAGACCCTGGTTTCTTGTTTTGTATTTTTGCTGTGCGGGAAGTAGATGGATGCAGGTGGCTCAGGATCGTGCTTTGTGGCAGGCTATGGGGGCTTATGTTCAGCAGTGGACTCAAAGGGGCTGAAATGATGATGATGAAGATGTGGAAGGGGTTTGGTAGTACTTGTTTGATTTGTTCAGGGGATTCTACAGTTGATTCACTATTAATTGATTCACGCTTTCACGCTAAAATTACTGAACCGATTTAAATGAAATTTGGTACACAGATAGAGCCTGTGAAAAGACATGGGCTATTTTTTAATTGGAAAAAGGGCTATAAAGGGTTTTTGAAGGGGAACTATATTTATTCTCAACAATGGCTTTAAATTTATCAAAGACACATGACTTATTCGTTATTATATGAAGAAATACTTTCATAGAGTAGTCATCAATTAAAGTGACAAAATAATGTACACCTCCCATTGACTCCACTTCCACGGGGCCGCAAACATCAGAGTGAATAAGTTTTAGCAAGCCATTTTATCTGGAACCTTCTGAAGGAAAAAGATTTCTTGACTGCTTTCCCTACAAACATGAAATACATACAACTTTGTCTTTAATTTTTACCCCCGTACTTTCAGATAGTTTATTGAGATCTTCAAAGTTCAAATGTGCCATTCTCTGACGCTATAAATAATTATCATTTCTTTTAGTCGTAGATATGTATGCTGGGACACTGTATTAAGCTGGTCCATATTATTTATCAACTTTGCATCGGCTACTTGTATTTTATTTTTTATTAAATATTCTTTATTATTATATTACATTCATTATTATGTGACTTATAGAAAGAAGGTTGGTAGCTAATTCCGGAACATAGAGAACATTTTTTATTATAATTATTTCAGTTTTGCCTTTCTTATTAAAAACATGCGGATACGCTTTACCACATGCTTTCACAATAAGTTTCTTGTCATCAACTACTTTGATAGTATTAATTGGAGGTGATATTTAACCATAGTTAGATGCATTGATGCCCCTGAGTCTATATAACATCCATTATCATTACTTGTTGATGCAGAAAATACAGCCAGAGTTCTCGTTTGACTTATGTTCCCCCTTTTATTTTTACAATTCTTTCTTATATGACCATACTTGTTGCATATATTACACCTTGGACCTTTGTTAGGTTGGTTCATTTTATCTCTTCCTTGGTAGCATTGCTGTACTTGTTTATTAATAAATTATACATATTTTTTCTGAAGCAACAGTCCTTCTTGAGATGGCCAGTCTTTCCACAGATGAAACATTTGCTTTTGTTTTTACTGCGAATGAACTTAAATTACTTTTCTTGTTCTCTGTGTCACTACTGTTCACAGGTTTTTCATTTGTTTCAGACTTTACACAATCTACTGCTCTTTGTTCTTCTTGTATTACATCAATAAAGTCTCCAATATAACTATAACTTGGGGGTAGGGCTCTGAGCAAATATCTCATCTTTTCTGGTTCAGTCAACTTTGCACCAGCCGCTTTGAAATCATTCATCGTTTTCTCGATATCAAAAAAAATCATTTCATTTAATCACTTCCATTTTTCCTCTACACATTGTTTGCATAGCTGTGTTAAACACATTTTGTCAAACTTTTTTATTATAGCGTAAGCTGTTATACATGAACTCGTATATTCTATTCGTTTATCAGAAATTGTGCTCATTATTATAATAATAGTCCTTGCTTTTCCATTTTCTTCTTAACCGCCTCTTGATTTTTAAATTTAGCGGTTATTTTGAAAAATAGCGGGCTCGTTACTTCTTTGTATTCTAGTAAAGTTACTAACCTTAATTCTGCTCGGAGCTTTCAGAAAGATTTTCTTTTATATCACTCATCTTAACTGAACGATCTTCATTAATACCACTCACGTATTTTCTCAAATTGTATTAGAAAAAATAGTTTTTCACAATCTATAATGATAATCGATGTAGAGAATACATTCGAGGCAAATTGAAAATATGTATTCACATATTAATCCGGGCCCTACTGCTAAACATACATAAACCTACTGTTCTTTTTTAAACAAATACATATCATACAACTGTGGAAGGAACACTTTCGCTGTTGCAGAAATGGGCAGGTCCGTCCGGGTTAGAACCACGACCTCACAAAAGACTGGAGTAAAATGCAACCGGTGTTGTAAATGTCCGTGGGCGGCGGTTGTCACTTAACGTTAGGTGAACCGCCAGCTCGTTTAAAAAAATAATTCTTACTAATATTATAAAGGCGAAAGTTTGTGTGTATGGATGGATGATGACAATCTAATATATAAAATTCTCATGTCACGGTGTTTGTAATTGAACTCCTCCGAAACCGTTAGTCCGATTTTGAAATTTTGTGTGCATATCGGCCAGGGTGGAGAATCGGACAACATCTATTTTTCATGCCCCTGAATGTTAAGGGTGGTCCACCCCAAACATTTTTTTCTACCCTACAAACAATTTATATGGCAAAACAACGTATGCCGGGACAGCTAGTTATATTATGTAACACCCAGACACGATGAAACGCCGCGTTCATCGCGCAACACTGTCCCAGCAGCGGGGATCGAACCCACGCCCTGCATCCCACACGTTGTTGAGCGGGCGCACTCCGTCGCAGCACGGTCCACGGGCACTCGGACCGGGTGTACTCGTGCCACGCGTGCGGCAAGCGATACCGCGCCAAGTCGAGCCTCGCCTCGCACCAGGCGCGCCACGCGGCCGCCGCCGCTTCGCCCTCCACCTTCTGCCCGCCCTGCGGCACCCACTACCGCTCGCCGCTCGGCCTGAGGCACCACCTGAAGACCCACTCGAGGCACGTGCGCGAATCCGACAAGAGGTCAGTGGAGGTCTATTTTTTTTCCCTTTTTTTTCCTCTTTTTTTTCTTTTTTTTTCTTTTTTTTTAATGAGAAAGGGAGGCAAACGAGCAAGCGGGTCACCTGATGGTAAACGATCACCGCCGCTCATGGACATTTTCAACATCGGTTGAGTCGCGTTGTCGGCCTTTATGGTAGGAGTGGTAGGTTTTAATCAGCGGAAGGCTTTTACTAGGTCCCGCTGAGTTTTTTTTTTTTAAGTGACAACCTCTTTAGGCACGTTGAGCTCTTTTTGGGCGACAAAAGTCACGGAACTCGCGTCTATTTGTGTGTATATGTGTACTCTTTGGGTGAACTAAAATCACGGAAAAAATAAGTATTAACAATTATTTTAACACAATAACTTACATTTTATTTTATAAATTTATGAATAAATATATTAATTATTGTTATTAAAGTCCCCAAAGACTGCCCCGTTTTTTATGTACGAAGATATCAAGCGAGCTGGCGGTTCACCTAATGTTAAGCGATAACAAAAGCCCGCTGACATTTGCGACACCCGTAAGTTTGCAGATGCGTCGCCACCTTTTAATTCTGAACACATTCATTCTATACAGGTTCATATGTGACGAGTGCGGTTCGAAGTTTTCGACGAAGCGCTGCCTAGAAGAACACATCGACTGGGTACACCTGAAGAAGGTCAAGCATGAATGCAGCAAATGCTCAAAGGTATTATTTCTTCTCGTACCTAAAGATAACCATTGGTTCATTTCCATAGAGGATCCCAGAGACCCGTGTAATGTAAAACATTATTGGTATCCCGCGAAGGCGATTGAAAGTTATACAGTGACTGCTCAAGTATTCAAAGATATGACTTCACAAGGAAATGCAATACTCAAATAGAGCCCGATTTTTTAAAAATACACAAATTTTCAATTTAATTAAATTATTGAAAAAGTTGATACTGTATACAGCGTGTACCATTTACCATCGCGACAATAAATAAACACAAATATAGAGGATAACTTTTTAAAATTGTATCAAACATTTACATTCTTTAAACATCAATATTTACAGAGTTATTAAATTTACCAAAACAAATAATTTCACAACAGCCTTACGTATAAAACTGTAACGTAAAGTTCATTCGTAAAGGTCACAAAGCATATGAATGGGTTGAATGAATTTAAAAGAGACAAAATATACTGTTAGAAAGAGAGGCTTGTAATGCGACAGTGTGGCAACAAATGAAAAAGTCTTTGAATGTATGAAGCAGTCAGTTGTAGTTGTATAGTATGTTACAAATTTTGTTTCTTTTTTACTTAATTAGTTTGTTTGGAAAAATATTTTTTTTTAATTATGGATTTTTTTAACGTTAATATTTTTTATGATTATTGGCCAGTAGCGTTAGACGTGTGTTCATTTATTGTCGCGATGGTAACGACACGCTGTATAATGTTTTAGGTACCTTAAATTTGCCAATATCACCGATATATATTTTTTTATTGGCAACCTGACCAGCATACCTTTTCATCACAGTTAATATAATATAATAACACGTATAATATAATTTAGAAAACTAAAATCCGACTGCGTTTCTATGTATTTTTTTATTTTGATATACTCAGTGTCACACTCACAGTAAATTCGAATCTAACGACACCTCTCAAGCTAAAATCCATCAAGCGTTTCAGGCTGCAGTGCGTGCCAAACAATTATACATACATACATGCTCTCGAAAAACATATCCCTCCTTCTGGCGCAGTCGGGTAAAATAAAGAAATTATACCCGCATCATGTGCGAAGATAGGAAGGGAGCGAGTTTAGGAAGCAATTGCTCCCGTTTCATTTTGGTGTGTACACCAACTTAAGAGCGGATCAGTTCCTGTCGGAATGGCTTGCGCGGGACATTGTGGTATTTATATTCGGAGGGATTTATATCCAGAGGGTTTTGGAATAGATTGCCATGTGCCTGGTATGCTACTATATCGAGTTTGTTGCGTCAACGCCAGGGCTTCAAAAACAACTCGGCCCTGAAAAAGCACATGAACTACGTCCACGAGAAGAAGCGGCCGCCGCGGAACAAGATCTGCGATCACTGCGGGCGCGGTTTCACAGTGAGTTTTCACATTCTTACCAGCGCTAAGTTCAGAGCCGTGATGGCTCAGCGTCCGGGCGCTCGCCTTTGATTCAATACACTCGAGCAACCCGAGTTCGATCCCCGGTGCCGGCACCGATGGAATTGTTAATTTCAAGTGCTGAATTATCACGTGCTCAACGGTGAAGGAAAACATAGTGAGGAAACCTGCATATAAAATTTTTTCGCAGATATGTGAAGTCCGCCAATCCGCAGTGGGGCCGCGTGGTGGACTATGCCCTGATACCTTCTATACAGAGGAGGCCTTTGCGCAGTAGTGGGACATGTATAGGCTTATACTTTACTTTATCAACGCCAAGTTTAATGCCCATCACGCTATAAGGCATGATACTTTTTCCAAGATAGGAGGCGGCAAACAAGCGGGCCCTTTCACCCGTTTAAGGAAAATCGCAACATCCGCGATGCTGCGATTACGTCGCCAACCTTTAAGTTCTAGGGTTGTCAACTGAGAAAAATAAAGTATCACATTTTTCAAGTAAAGCATAAAGATAAAATTTTCTTGGGATAGAAACGTTTTTGTTAAATCATATAATTATTATTAACAGCAAAAGCTTCCAAGTTGAAAGTGTTCTGTTTCAACTTAGAACTATCAATAAAATTTCGGTAATTATGCATATACATACATTGTTAGTGTTTTATTTTATGCATCACAGTAAAGATTGAAAATAGAGTATTTCCACATACTTTATTTTTATGCAAAAGTATAAAGTATATTTACCAAAAATGAAGTAGGATGCGTTATTATAAAGTGTTGTTGGCAACCCTACACAGTTCCCTTGGTCGCGAGACGAGACGCACAAGCATAAACACTTTCCCACACGACGGCATAAGCCGCACTTAACGTATCTCCGCGCTTTAAGTACTCGTTTGGTGACTTTTATTTCATTCAACAAATCCGCAATTACTCAGTTGCGTACCCAGTAGAGGGCGGGACCGTCCCTTTTAAGGAGACGCGTACATCTAGACAGTTTTGCCAGACTCTGACGATCCTCCGTTCGCACGTGCGCACGCACACCGGCGAGCGGCCGCTGCTATGCTCGCACTGCCCCGCCACCTTTGCCCATCCGGACGCCCTCTACACCCACACGAAACTCCTCCACGGCACCGGCTAGCGGGTAGAGAGAAGAGCAAAACAACCACGAGGCAAAGGTTTGTGCGAGCGTTCACGTTTCTTACGATGGGACGCTCAAGAGAAATAAACGTTTCGGAACATTACTTTACACAACACTGTCCAGTCCCAAACTTAGCGAAGCTCGTACTATGGGTACTAGAAAACTGATGAACACACTTGATTGTAGTTTTCTTTTGTAAATAAATACACGTTATAGATATGTAACACCCGGACTAGAAAAACTATGTTCATCACACAAAATTTATCCAGTTGTGGGGATCGAACCCACACCGTGTGATGCAAGCGACAGGACCACTATCAACTATGCCCACTGGGTCTTCAAAGAAAGTGAATGAAGTTACCGTTATAGGCTGGAAGACTTAACTGGACAATTTGTGTGAAAGCTGGTGGTGTGCCAACATTGAAGCCGGTCCAAAACGAAAAATCACGAAATTACGTTTAGCAAACAGCTGTGCCGACACGTTACAACTACCACACAAAAAAATTAGGCAATAGCAAGCGCCCACTTTGTTTTTCTAACTATATTTTAAACAACAGTTAACGAACTGTGTACTTGCTAAGCAAGCTTAGATTATTGAGGGAGGTTTCAAGTTCTCCCTTTTCCCTGCTTAGTTTTAAGATTGAAAAAAGACTGTGAGGTAAATTATAAACGTGTTAATAAATTTTTTGATGTTTTATTTTATCACTTTTTCATATACCACAGACATTTAGCTCGTTTTCAACCAAACGGAATCTGAAGAGTGATTATTTTATTCATAAACTGCTTCACTCAACAAATTCGTCACTTTGATACCTTGGGGGAGCGGTGAAGCCCTTGTTTGTAATGCTACTTGAGTAGACACTGGCTGCCTTTCATCTAAAGGGTATTTCGGTCAGGACCGGGCCGGTATCGGAGGCAGCTGGTGTAAGTAAATGGCGCAAATATGAGTCTCTATGTTTAGATTATGTATTTGTGCCTTGCTGTTGAAACTTTGGGTCCGTGGGGTCCCATATCAAATTTTTTTTAAGGTTTATGTCGTAGCTTTAACGCCGCGGCTGGTGCCAAGAGAGCTGGTTCTTTTCTCGCTCAAAGCTTTAACCATAACTCAGCGAGGAAATGCGGCTAGCGTTCTTGGCACCTTGCTGCGTGGATTAGGGTTATTATATAATATGTAATTTTAGATAAATATTTCTTTGAACCTAACACAAATATTTATTTCTCAAAAAAGAATATTACAATATTCACTTAACTATGAGAAAATTTTACATAGTACATGTTAAATAACAATTTAAAAAGTGTGGATAATCGGAGTTGTTGCTTAACTTGCCATTAAAAACATTTTTAATTTTTTTTTGAAACTCGTTAAAGAGGAACAATTTTTGACACGGGGTGGTAACTTATTATATAGCTGAGCTCCTTCAAACTGTATATTTCTTTTTCCATACAAAGTCCTGATTTTAGGTAGTTCTAAGTTATGTTTATGTCGTGTGTATTTGTGTTTTTTTTATTAAATAAAATTTGTGTCTTTATTTGATTTGTTAATATTTTTCTGATAAGTATGCATGTAGCATAAAATGTATAATGTTGTATATTAAATATTTTCGTTTTATTATATATGTATTTAGTAGATGTTAGAGAACTATAGTTGAACTACAGTTGTATAATTTAATGTTGTAAATATATGATTAATAGGAAAAAAATAATCAGTTGCTAACACCGGTATGTCAATTTACATTTGCTCAATAAGGGGAGGTAAGACCATTTTGCTTGTGAATCAATTACTGTGTTCTTTCAGTTTTGTCGTTAGAGTCGGGCATTCTGGGATGTATATATGACATGTGCAACACAACGTCGTGTCGGCGCTAAAACTCAGATGCCCATCTAAGGCCACATGGAGTCTACCCTCTTCATCATGAGGAATAAATTTTTTATAGACTTCTTTCGACCGACTTCAAAAATGGAGGAGATTCTCAAATTGGCTGTATTTTTTGGTTTTTTTTTTTAATGTTTGTTACCTCAGAACTTTCTGCTGGGTGAACCGATATTGATGATTCTTTTTTTTTATTTGAAAGCTGGTGCTTCCCACGTGGTCTCATATTAATTTCATTGGTAATGGATCTTGGGCTCCGCAGATACTTGGGGAACTCGTGAAAATCAATTACAAAATGAATACCGGAGCGGAGTTTGAAGTCGGTTTTGTTTTTCGTTAATAAAAATATGGACTTGTTTTAGATTTTAAAACAGATCAATATGTCAAGGTATCAAATCAAGGAAATAATCTGGTTGGGGTAGTTATTAGAAATCACAACCAGGAAATAAAAATCCTAATGAAACAAAACTCTCTTTCTTCAATCCTTTTCTTTTGTTTTGGGCGTTTCTTTTGTTTTCTTCACCTAAACGATTTAACTTTTGTACTGTAGCAATCCGCCGAATTAATTGTTTCGCCTTTTACCAGTTAGTCTACCACGATGACTTGTGGTATCCCAAAAGATTGTGCCATCACCTCCTCAGCTGACATAATTACTTATTATCTAAAGCTTGGGTTGTATTTTTGATTTAGGATATTCATAACAATAAATCACAAATCTGATATTACAATATTTGCAGACCATCAATCATTAGTTTTTGTTCGAATGAAAGCAATCTTGAGACCCACCGAGTGGAAAACCTTAGAGAATCCAAGTTTATTGGCTATGATGTTTTACTTTCGTTCATTGGTGAAGCGTACAGTATAAGCAATCTTCTGGATAATCAGTTGTCGGTCTATCGACTGGGCACACTGCCTCTGTTTACTTCAGTCATAGATTTCGAGGCCGCCAATGAAGGTGATCGCCTTGTGATTCTCTCTCGTCCACGTTTTTTAATTTTAACATTTCATAGTGAAATAAAGGGTAGCTAATATTATTTTCATGTCATCGCAGATCTTCTTAGACGTTTTTAACAAAAACTCGATGACTGCATATTGTTTACTCCATTTTATAAAATGATATCATCGACCTACATCGGTACAAAATGTTTCGTGACAAATGTTAGCACTTGGACCAAAATGAACGAACAATTCCTCTAATAAATTCATTTCAGATATACCTGAATATTATAATTTGCAGGAGTGCAGATGTGTTTTGTCTTACTTGCATTATTATCCATAGTAAAAAAAAAATTTGCAATTAGTTTTAAACTTTATCCAGCGGTTCTACTTGTCTGTTAGTTGCAGTAGCAGTTTTCGAAGTATACCTTCAGGTCACACCCTTCCCTTCGTAATAATTGCCCCCTTATGTATGATAACATAATCCTGTTTTTGTAAGGACGTTTTACCTACATGAATTTCAGATAGACAAACACCCATATCCGAAACAATTATCTGTGAGTCTTCAAAATACTTTTTCCGTGTAGGAAACCAAGCTACGGCGCCGAAAACAATACCATTGTGAAATAAGAGAAAACATTTAATGAATATAAGGTTTTAATAAGCTAAAATTTACAGTAAAATTAGTTTGGTTACATAACATACATTGACAAAGACATTAATAATAATAATAATAATAATATGCTTTATTGTACACCAAAAAAGAAAAAAGTACAGAACTAAACAAAATATTTATCAAATATTGGTCATCAAAAGGCGACCTTATTGCTACACAGCAATTTCTTCCAGGCAACCTCAGAAATGAATCCAAAGAAATTCTTATTGGGTAGGATGTACATGAAATTAAGTAAAAAGTAAGTTGCAACAAAAATTAAAGTAATAAGAAAAACATACCTCTTGTGTGTGATCATCAAAGTAAGAGTGAAATAAAAAGAGAAGAAAGACATCGAGAGATAGAAAGGAGCTAGACAGAGAGATAATGCTTCTTAACCTGTCTTTTAAACGAATCTAGGGTTTGAGCACGTTTAATAGCCAAAGGTAAAGAGTTCCAGAGTTTAACAGCGACAGCAGAGAAGGATTTATGGTAAAAACTAGTTGATCGCAAAGGATTTTTAAGGAAGAGGTTTTCATTTGAACGTAGAGGAAGGTTATGAGAAGAGCAAAGAAATTGAAAACGTTCCTTCAAATAATCCGGACTTGATACATTAAATAGGACGCAGTAAAGAGCAGAAAGAATATGAGTATTCCGGCGAAAACGAATCGGGAGCCACTTGAGCTTAATGCGATATTCTGATACATGGTCATATTTACGAAGTCCAAATATGAACCGTATACATAGATTTTGGAGTCGCTCAAGTTTATTAAGCTGCTCCTCAGTGATGTCGAGATAGCATATGTCAGCATAATCAAGAATAGGGAGCAGTAAAGAATGGGCAAGTGTAATTTTGGTTGAAATAGGTAAAAAGTAGTTCAACCTTCTAAGCGAACCACATGCTGCAAATAATTTACGAGCGACTGCATTAATTTGAGGGGTCCATGAAAAACTTGAGTCCATCAGTATACCCAGATTTCTAACAATGTCATTATAAGGGATTACGATGCCATTAAAAATAACCGGGTCAATTTGGTTCTTATTTAATTTAGTGATATTTCTTGAACTCCCAATTATTATGGCTTGAGATTTTATAGGATTAACAGTCAAACCATATTGTCGGCTCCAGTCAAGAATACAAGCCAAATCCCTATTAATAATATCCACAGCTTTCGGAAGATCCTCCACAGTGGTTTGAGTGTAAATCTGGAGATCATCTGCATACAAGTGGTAGAGAGAAGATATTTGGGAAGTAATGGTATTAATGAAAATTGCAAATAGCAGTGGGGATAACACGCCACCTTGTGGAACACCAGCTACAGTATCAAGCCATGAAGAAAAACTGTCCTGAAATCGAATACGCTGCTGGCGTCCATACAAGTAACTATGAAACCAGGAAATTGCAGTTGGAGATATGTTACGAGAACGCAGTACACCTAACAGAATGTCATGATCTACAGTATTAAAGGCGTTGCTGAAATCCAGCAAGACCAATACTGTGACTAGACGACTGTCCATTCCAAAGCGAATGTCGTCAGT